GCTGGAAATGGAGGGATGACGGGCTAGGTATGAGTTTCCTGGGGCGTTTATTAATAATGTGGAAGCCTGGGCTCATACATTGGAGGTTCTGATTTAGTGTGTCTGAGGCTTAGGAGTCTGTCCTTGTAACAGGTGCCCCAGGTGATTTCGATGTAAGTGGTCAGTAGACCACGCTGATGCTGTAGAGGGGAGATGGCATACTATTTGGCTGGCCTGATTGACCCGTTCATGTTTCTTGCCTGGATCCTGATGGCGGTAGCATTTGTGGTTCTTTAAAAGAACCTATTTACTTAAAAGTGATACATGTACCTAGTGGTTGGAAAAAAAAAAAAGCTTCAAACATTGCTGAAATGGAAATGCTCAAAAAAGGAAAAAAAGAAGGGTAGATCTCCACTCACCCTTTAGCCAATCTGCTAATCCCTGAGAGGTTTCCTTGTATTATACCAGGGGAAAAAGTGTTCTAGGGGGTGAGGGAAGGGAGCAAATATGGGTTAGAACTTACATATATATATATATATATATGTATATGTATATGTATAAATACTTAAAACAGAAGCAACAGTAGAGAGAATAGTAAAATGAATCAGCCAGCTCAAGTGAGGATATTTCTGTTTGTGATTAATCGTGGTGGAGGCCCCTGGCTGCCTGTGCTGCTGTAACAGTTTTGGGGAGAAATGCAGGAAAAATGCGTGGTGCTGGCGGTGCTGTGACACAGTATAAAAATTTTGAGATGTGTTTACAAACTGGGACTGCTAATTTCAGTGTTAACCCTATTGCATTATATTGAATTTCTGAGACTTGCTGCCACAAGCTGTGCCTCAGACTAGATAATGTTATTACATTTTCTACTTTAAACCACACCCAATCTTGAGGAACTAGAGAAGGTTTTCTCCCTTAGCTGGGGGAGGGGGTTGGCCATTTGTGCCACTTGAATTTTTTCCTTTTGGTCCTTGCAAACTAGTAAATGAGCTTTTAAAAGCTTTTTAAATGACTTAATTCAGTTGAAGGTAATGAGCTAGCACAAGCTAGCACAAATTGAAACATCTATTTGTTAGGCCACAGATCACTGGCAGTAGAAACTCTTTCTCTTTACACATGTATATGTTATTCATATTATTAAAATGAAACGTTAGTTTGTAATTTAAAGTTATCTGTTGTCTGGAAAGACTTAAAAAAAGGTTGGAAGACTAGTCAGTATTCAAAGGAGACTGAAGAGACATGACAACTAAATGCAATGTGTGGTTCTTGATAGGATCATGGATCAAAGAAGGGACCATCTATGAAGGATGTTAGTAGGACCATTGGGGAGATATGAAACTGGATTGTATTTTAGATGATGTCATATCTAGGTTTAATTTCTTGAGCATGTTAATACTGTTGTGCTTATGTAGGAGAATGTTCTAGATCTGGAAATACATGCTGAAATATTAGGGGTTTTAAATGGTTTAGAAAAGTTGCATGTACACACACGTATTTGTTTTATGTCTTATATACATAAACAGTTGATGAATGTAAGTGAAGAGTGTGGGTGTTCATTGTACTGCTTTAATTTTTTTCAGTCTTGAAAAATTAAAAAAGCAGTTGAAAAGAGTTGATACTTCATTCACCACATTTGCATCTTTTTTTTTTTTTTTTTTTTTTTTGGCTGCTTTGGGTCTTCATTGCTGTGCATGGGCTTTCTCTAGTTGCGTCTAGCGGGGCTTATTCTTTGTTGCAGTGCGCAGGCTTCTTGTTGGGGTGGCTTCTCGTTGCAGCACATGGGCTCTAGGCGTGTGGGCTTCAGTAGTTGCAGCACATGGGCTCAGTAGTTGTGGCTCCCGGGCTCCAGAGCTCAGGCTCAGCAGTCGTGGCTCATGGGCTTAGTTGCTCCACGGCATGTGGGATCTTCCCAGACCAGGGGTCGAACCCGTGTCCCCTGCATTGCAGGCAGATTCTTAACCACTGCGCCACCAGGGAAGTCAACCATGTGCATCTTCTGAATGTCAGACCTATGGCTAGACATGGTGTTTGGGGAGTGAGACATGGCAAGAGTTAATTCATTGTTAATTCATTCATTGAATGCTTAAGTGTTTCATGTTCATTATGTCCTTCAGTCCTTAAAAGAAAACTTTATGTTGTAGGAAACTGAGATACATAGGTTAAATAACGTATTAATTAGCAGAGAAAGAGCCTTTGAAGGCATACATTTTAAGTCTAAAGCTCAGACTCTTAATCATAAATCTAATGTGATGGTGGTTGCAGCCAAACTGTGTAGGGCTCTGTATTACGTGTTTAAGAATTTAGATTTTATCCTTTATTGTTTTGCTGTTGAAAATGTTTAGGACATCACCTAGGAGCTTGTTAGGAATGCAGAAACTTGGGTCTGATATGATATAGGCCTGCTGCATTCTAACAAAATCAGAACGTGTAGATGATTTGTTGCCCATTTAGGTTTGCGAACCACTCTCCACAGTACTGTTTTTACCTTTCTGGTAGTGTTGAGTTTAAATAATCTTCAGTGTTGTACTTGGTCCCTTAATCAACATTAACAGTATTATTTTTTCAAGCAGGAAAAGCTTAGAATTCAGCAGTAGTATAATGAACTTTGGTAACCCATTCTTAAGGTGAGAGTAACTTGTAGTTGGTGAAGTAGTAAGCACCTCCTCTGTGTGCATAAGTATTGTCTGTTGGGTGGAGGTGTATTAAATTTATTAAAAATCAATACTTTGTATAGTTACTCTAACCCCTTATGGAATGATTATTTTGAAGTTTCTGTATTTAGAAGAGTTTTTGATAATACTCAGTAGAAAAATGCATTGTGTTGAGTGCTCTTTGGAAAATGAGATTAAGAAGATTTTATTAATTTTGTTATAGATATTGAAGCACAGATTCGAGAAATTCAAGGAAAGAAGGCAGCTCTTGATGAAGCTCAAGGAGTGGGCCTTGATTCTACAGGTTATTATGACCAGGAAATTTATGGTGGAAGTGACAGCAGGTTTGCTGGATACGTGACATCTATTGCTGCAACTGAACTTGAAGATGTAAGTTACAAAGTATATAAACAGTCCAAGCATTATTTTGAAGGAGAGCAAGAAATATAAAGGAATCTTCTGTTTTGAGTCATCTGGTTTAATCTGGGGAGACATCTTAGAGATTGGGAGATCTTCCTTTGGGAGGATAAAACTGTTGAAAGCGTCCTTCTCTTCTAAGAAACTTCTGGAAGTGCTCAGTTCTGAATCTTTATGTTAAAACTAGTTTGTTTATCCAGCAAAGCACCTGGAAATCATTAACCATTGTAAACTAAATCCTTATTGTTACCTACTGAGCTCTATCTAGAGTAGCCCAGTGAGAAGTGACTTCATTTTAAACAGCCGTCTGTGCTTGTGACTTTTGATTTCTGACTTGTTTCCAAAAAACTTGGTGCTGTTTTTTCCCCCCTTGGCATCTTAACATGAGTGGACTCTTTCTTGTTACTCATATTAATGGGCTTTTCATGCCTAATTTAGTTACTCTGAAGGGGGACTGCCTTTCATTTTGAAATACATCTCTTAAAGTGTTTTCATATAGTCCACATAGCTTATACTTTGTCACACCATTTTCAAACATCCAAATTTGGTGAAATAGCTGATCATTTTCGTGTGGTTCAGTAATCTACGTACATAGATTATGAAACTTGTTATTTTTATGAAATTCAAGCCATATTTAATTTTATGGTTAGAACTTTTTTTTAAGAAAAATTTTAAAGTTCCAAAGGCAAAATTTCTAGAAGCTGATCAGTCTTATATTTGCATTATCGTACCTTAATGGTAAGAGGCAGTGATGGCTCTGTGTTCCAGACGCTGAGCGGGAAGTTGTCATTTCATTTTTGAATAAAATTAATGAGCTGTTAAGATCTTGAGATCTATCCATTGTTGCACTTCTTACCTTAGTAAAATAATAATATAACATTGTTCTGTTTAAACGTACTATTAGGGAAATAAATACATTTACAATTAATTACATTTTACTTGTTTCTGTGGTTAAATCATGTTTTTTAAAAAAGTTAAAAAGACAAGGAAACTGGAGAGTTCTAAATAAGCTGTTTGTATTTTCCAAATTTGAAAACAAATTTCATCATGCGCTCTGTGAGAAGATGAAATGCTCAGGTTTTTCTAGTCCATACCTACTTTATTTACAGAAAGGATTCCTTGTTTAGTATTTTTAAAAGAATATAGAGAACTAAATTTCTTTATTAACTTTTTGAGTTGAAAAAAAAACCTAAGTGTTAACAAGTTTCATCACGTTGTCTTTTGATTTCATATTGAATCTTTGTGTGTTCTTTCTAGTTTTTAAGTTCTGACGTTTTTGTTTGTGGCTTTCTGGGGGCATTCGTTGCAGGATGACGATGACTACTCATCATCTACAAGTTTGCTTGGTCAGAAGAAGCCAGGATATCATGCCCCTGTGGCATTGCTTAATGATATACCACAGTCAACAGAACAGGTGATTTTTTTTTTTTTTTAAAGTCAAAACCAAAGTTTATTCAGCTAAAGAAAACTGAACGTCTTAATTCCAATGGAAAGTCACATATTTTAGGAATCAAGTTATTACAGTGTCTGAGGAGAGTTGATTTGGGAGAATTAGAAATAGTAGTTTATTTCAAAAAGGTGATCATTTCATGAAGGATTGAACTATGGAAATTGTCTCATTTCCATATGCCTTATTTTTTCACATTAGCATTTATCTGAAAAATGATACATAATATTAGGTATTTATTAAACATTTTTACATGTTTTATAATGTTCTGATTTTTGTGTGTGACATTCTCTTTGGTTATTTAATAAGTGAGTGTTAAGTGAGACATACCTCTTTTCAGTATGATCCATTTGCTGAGCACCGACCTCCGAAGATTGCAGATCGGGAAGATGAATACAAAAAGCACAGGCGGACCATGATAATTTCCCCAGAGCGTCTTGATCCTTTTGCAGATGGTAATTCTTTCCCACTTTTCTATAAGTATTCAGAAATTTATTTGTGTTAAGTTGTCTTTAGCCCTTTGATTTTTTTTGGCATGCTTATGAATTTGCTTTTCTTTTTAAAAATCCCCCTTATAGATTTGTATAGATTTGGTTGAAGTCACAGATGCCATATTCTTCATCTTTATAATGCCAGTTTTCTTTCCAGGTAGAAGGACAAGAAACTAATGAGCCAATGCCATAGAAACGCAAAGGGTTAAAGGTTTTTCTTTTACTTTTGTTTTGGGTACGCTTTCTTTACTTTGAACAAATGTGTTTTTCTGCTCAAAATACTTTCAAATTATTGAAAGTTTTCATTCCAAGTCTTAGATTTTTAGGATTGTTACTTTTGAGAAACTGTTTCCACATTAGAGCTCCCCTCATATTGCTCTAAATATAGTTTAGTAAATGCACCTACTTTGCTCTAAGCATACTTAAAGTTAAAACAAAAGTATGTATACAAAGACTTTGATATTTTTAATAGTTGGAGTCTGTTTTGCTAATTTTAGTGTGCAGGTCAGCACAAGGGGCATAGTGAGCCTGATGGAAGCTTTCCTCAGGTGAGTGAGTTTCAAGATCAAAGTTAGGTGCCTGTTTCTTAAAATTAGATTCTGCTGCAGGTTTACAAATTAGACTTTCAGCCTGCATGAATTAGTAGGGATATTCTTTTTTTTACTTGCATAATTGTAATTGATTTAAACATGTATGTCAGAATTCACAGGCCCATACTAACTGTCCTTAATTTCTTTCCTACAGCAGTACTGCTATATGCCAGTCCTGTCTGCATTCTTAAGGGTGCAGTTCAACACATCCTCTCTAGATTATGGTGAAAAAGTATTCCAAAGGAAGTCTTATCAGAGATAGTGTCAGAAAGAATGACACTACCAATTGGGCATGATCTTCAGCATAGGAAATGTCTTAGACCTTTATTAGTTTTTCCTAAATTGTGATGCTATACTACTTGTATAGCTAATTATCACATTTCTAAAACGTAGTGTGCCTCTGTGAATCTTGTTATATATTGTTTGGGCTTCTTTAAGATATTTTGAAGTTTGAAAAGCAAATACTGAAACTTTAACCAAGAGACTAACACATCTCTTTGTACACCACTTTTTTTCTGTATGCATCATAATAACTGGTAGAAGTAATATATTTCAAGTAATATGTTTCCAGTTGTTATTTATACTTTCTGAGAAAATAAAAATATGTTTCTGGGTCAACAAAAAGTAAAAATCATGAAGCCCTTTTTAGTAACATGACATCAGAATAAGATTAGAGGTATATTTTTAAAAATCAGATTTTCTAAACTATAACTGTTTTAGAACATTGTATGAAGAACTTATCTAGTCATAGTTACTTGTAGTCAGGATTTTAACAGCTTGCAACAGGTAATGTTTTGAATATAAATATCTTTCCAAAGTGTTACTAATGGTAAAGAGATAATTTTCTAGGCTTCTATTCTGCTGCTTGAAGTCAGAACTGCTGATGGAGACAAAGGCACGAAAGTGTACGTATTCCGGATTAGCAACCCAGGAACCCATCACTTCTGAAGACTCTAAACTGTGCTGTCATTTTGTTTTTATATGCATTAAAATATTTGTTTTAAACTGCTGTAGATATGTTTGTGTTCAAACAGGTTAAATTGATCAGCAAACTCAATAAAAAGTAAGATGTGTAATTATTAAAGTTTTCCATCAAAAAATAAATTAAATGATTATGGAATAATGTAATATTAGAGCAGGGAAGATAAATCAGTTGAACCTAATTATCTTTTATTTATTGTACTCTTGTCCTGTTGCTGTTCTTTTCTGCAGGAGGGAAGACCCCTGATCCTAAAATGAATGCTAGGACTTACATGGATGTAATGCGAGAACAACATTTAACTAAAGAAGAGGTCTGTGAACCTGCTTTTTATTTTAATGGTGTTGAAAGAATGTAAAGAAAGTTGAGATTAAGAGACTTTCATGTTTCCTTTTTATTTGCTGCACAAGTAATATTTTAACATTATTAATAAAAATTAAGTTGAGAAAGAACCTTATTCAAAATTCTAACACCTCCCAAATTAAGCTTTTCATATTTCTATACTATCCTTTTCTAGTGCCTGGCCCCTTGGCCACATGTATATGCATATATATCTTACAGTGGATATATCTGGGGGTGGATTGATGGTGTGTGCCTGAAGTCAGTGTATAAGGGAAAAGTCAAAGAGTAAAATCATTTTTTGAAAAGCCTCTAATTCTTCCATAAAATTTAGTTTGAATATGGGTGGAGAATTCTAACGAATTCCTGCTGGCCTGCAGAGATTGCGGTGTTTTGTTCTAATAGTTAGTTTTCATAACTTTATTATAAATATATAATAGATTTGTTTGTTGGATGAATTAAATGCGGTAATGGAACCCTACTTTAAAATCATAGGCTAAATAAATGTGTATTTTTTGTGACTATATTATATATAATATTTCATAGTTATAACAAAATTTTGAAAATTTCACTTTTATTGCTTTTCTAACTTATTACATAGTCTTAATTACTATTTATATGAGTTTTATGTAAAACTGTTTTTCATTGGAAGCATTTTGGTTCACTACCATTGACTGAAGATTTTACTTCATTAAGTGTATATAAAGCAGTGCGCTCTATGTAATAAATTCTGTATTTGCTCATTTTATATACTGTGCGGAAAGACAGTATATAAAACTTGAAAATACAGGAAAGAGAGGGAAAATAAGGAATGGGTCCACCAGTAGCATAGAAAGGAGAATGAGTGAAAAATAACATGGCATTATATAGAAATGACTCTGCTAATGATATAAGAATATATTGAAAATGTTTTAAAGATGCTCACTGTTTATTCAAATATTTTTCAGAGAGAAATTAGGCAACAGCTAGCAGAAAAAGCTAAAGCTGGAGAACTAAAAGTCGTCAATGGAGCAGCAGCATCCCAGCCTCCCTCAAAACGAAAACGGCGTTGGGATCAAACAGCTGATCAGACTCCTGGTGCCACTCCAAAAAAGCTATCAAGTTGGGATCAAGCAGAGGTAATTTCTTTTTTTTATTTTTTATTATTACTATTTTAAATTTATTTTTCTCATGGAATATATTAGTCTGCTTTTGTTGACACAACAAGATAACCACAGACTGGGTAGCTTAAACAGAAGACATTTTCTCACAGTTCTGGATGAAGGTGCCAACCGGGTTAGTGTCTGGTGAGAGCTCTCTCTCCAGCTTGCACACATCTGCCTTCTTGCTGTGTCCTCAAGAGGCCTTTGCACACGTGGAAAGAGCGAGGGAGCTCTGGTGTCTCTTTTCCTATAAGGACACCAGTCCTATCAGATTCATGTCCAACCTTGTGACCTCATTTAGCCTCATTACCTCACTAAAGGTCCAATCTCCAAGTACAGTTACAGTGAGGATAAGGGCTTCGACATGACTTTTGGTGGAGACATAGTTTAGTTCATAACATGGGGTAAAGGAATGTTCCTTTTGGAATATTAATTATAGATATGTAAGTATGTCACGTTATGTGGAGGTTGAGTATAACAGTGGTCTTCCTCATTTTTTAGATGGATTATTTAAGTCTCTGACCACAGGTGTCAGATACATAATGCTACTGCGTTTCCTTCATCAGTTGATTTTCCTAGAAACTTTTTTTTTGGTGGTAAAATGTATATAAAATTTACCATTTTTAACCATTTTTAAGTGTTCAATTTGGTGGTATTGATGACACAGTGTGTGTCAAGTACCACCATGATTTATTTTCAAAACTTTTTCATCACTTCAAGGAAACTCTGTGATCATTAAGCAATAACTCTGTCCCCCTCCCCTTCAGATGACTTTTTTATGCTTTTCTCTGTGAAACCTGTAGTACCTCCTTAGCTGCTGCTTTTTTTTGGGGGGGGGGTGGTTCGCAGGCCTCTCACAGTTGTGGCCTCTCCTGTTGTGGAGCACAGGCTCCGGACGTGCAGGCTCAGCGGCCATGGCTCACGGGCACAGCCGCTCCGCGGCATGTGGGATCCTCCTGGACCAGGGCACAAACCCGTGTCCTCTGCATCGGCAGGCGGACTCTCAACCACTACGCCACCAGGGAAGCCCAGCTGCTTCTTTTTTAGTTTATGACTTTGCTCTCTATTTCCCTCTCACCCCAAATAAGAACAATTAAAAAGAAAAAAGTATACATATTCCCACTGTGAAATCTACTGGTATGCCTGTATATGTTCTCGTCTTTGCTTTTCCTTCTCTTATAATGTGAACTATTGGTACAGGTTGACCATCTAAAGCTAACCCATCTGCTTATGTGCCATTTCCCATCTCTTATTACTCAAGGACTCTCATGTAACATCAGTTTTTTTCTCTGTACTCTAGGTTATTATCATGAGCAAACACATTTTACTGATCTTCATCTTTAAAAACAAAAAACAAAATATCACAAGAAATCTTCTCTTGACCATAACTTCCCCTTCCAGCTACCATCCCATTTCTTGCTCTTTTTACCACAAAATGCTTTGAATGAGTTGTGTATCTATACTTGTGCTCTGGTGCTTTTGCCTGCATTGCTCCACCAAATCCTCTTTTGTCAAGATGATTTAACCTCCTCATTGCTAAATCCAAAGATAGGTCTCAACCCTCATATTACGCAGCATATCAGTAGCATTCGACATTCTTTGATACCCTCTTAAACCAAAAAAAAAAAATTTATTTATTTATTTACTTATTTATTTATTGGCCACGCCTCATGGCATGTGGGATCTTAGTTCCCCAACCAGGGATTGAACCCACGCCCCCTGCTTTGGAAGCACAGTCTTAACCACTGGACCACCAGGGAAGTCCCTTGGTACCCTTTTCTTTCCTAGCCTCTGAGCTTCAGTCTTTCTTGATTCTTGTAATACTCACTTCAGTGACTGCTGCTTTTTAGTCTTGTTTGCTGGATCTTCCTCAGCTTCCTAAAATTTGGGGTACTCTAATGCTAAGTCCTCAGGTCTCTTTTGCATCTAAACTAACTCCCTAGGTTCTAACTCCTATCTTTACATACTATATTTATAAGACAACTCCCAAATTTACAAATCCATCCATACTTCTCTGTTCTTCATACCTGACACATTTACTTTGATATGTATTTGATAGGCTTTTCAGAATCAGTATTTATAATAAAATTGATTTTCTGTACTCACTCCCTCCAGCCTGCTCCCATGTCTATTGGCTCAAACCAAACCCTTAGAAATCATTTCAGGGTCATCCTATACTCCTCTTATGCTCTTCCCTGGCATCCTATCCACAAATGCATTTTGTTGGCCCGACCTTTAAATATATTCAGGATCTACCCACTTTCCATGACCCCACCACCCTAGTCTAAGTCACTGTTGACTCTAGCATAGGCTACTGCAGATTTATTTACAAATAAGGAAAAATGTGTCAGGCCATGGCATTGTTTTCCCAAACCCAGAATTGAGATACACTAAACCTAGCACATAATTTCCAAACAGTTTAGTTTTAGATCTTGAGGAGTCTCCATTTGCTTGCTGATATATGAGAGGATTTGGTTCTGTATAATATGTTATTACTAACTTAAATTCTGTGGTTGACATTCACTGCAAATTTTAAAAACTGACATTCAGTGCAAATTTTAAAAACAGAGAAAGAGAAACTTGTCCTTTTGGTATCTGTTTAACTGAAAAGGAGACCCAAGAGTTGATGTCTATCTCATAAAAGCTGTAGAGAGTCAGACCATGTTTTCTTTCACACTTCTCATTTAACACAACTCCATCTTAATTATGATTGTGGGAATTACAGCGGATACTAGGAAACATCTTTTCCTACCTGATTGAGCAGGAAGAGCAGTTGCTGAAAATGAGACTTTTGAACAATTTATGTTCTTTACTCATCTAATTGAGAATTTCTCAACCCTGAGTAATATATAGAATCTTTTTTTTTTTTTTTTCTTTTGCGGTACGCGGGCCTCTCACTGTTGTGGCCTCTCCCGTTGCGGAGCACAGGCTCCGGACGCGCAGGCTCAGCGGCCATGGCTCATGGGCCCAGCCGCTCTGCGGCACGTGGGATCTTCCCGGACCGGGGCATGAACCCGTGTCCCCTGCGTCGGCAGGCAGACTCTCAACCACTGCGCCACCAAGGAAGCCCTATATAGAATCTTTTGAAAGGAAGAAATACTGAGTCTTATTTGCAAACATAAAGCTAAATAGAACTCTTGGGTTGGATAGAACATCCAACTTTAAAAGAAATATGTAAAAGTATACTACAAAACTTACAGAATTATTTAAATACAGATTTTGTTTTGCTTCACTAATTCACCTGCTGTTTTTGATATGATATTGTCTGCACTCTGCAGGTTCTTTTGCTTTCGTACTGTCTGATGTCCTACATTGCTCACTACTTGTCTCTATTCAACTACCATGGAACCTTCAATCATTTAAGTCAACTTCTAATCTTTTTTCACTAATCTTGCCAGCATCAGAGCAATAGTATTATAGATGTGATTCTAAATATAACCTCTTCTCAGGGATTTGAAATAATGTCGCAGTATCTAGTTATAATTACCCAGGTGATCCAAAACATGCTTAAATTAATTAAACACACACAAAATTGAACAAAAACAAAAATATTCTTAGTGGGAACTCATGAGTCTCTGTCTCTAAGACCCAGTTTTGAGATGTGCTGATATAATTAAAGGTGAAATTCTTGAGATCTTGACAGAGAAACCTTAATGTTTTCCCAAAGTTACGGAGCCATTAGTGGCATAACCAAAATACGTTGTTTTTTAAATTAGGGCTTTTTTCATTGCTCCAAATTAAATCTTTAAGTTATTTTTTGTCATAAACATATTTGCTAGAAAGTAGGTATCTTTTAAGTAGAAGGATAATCTATTCTCTTAATCATGAACTAAAACATTTAATTTTTTTTGTTTGCTTAGCAGGTTTTCTAATTTTTATGTGGGTGTATGAAATAAATTTTTTTTTGCTCTGTTAAGACCCCTGGACATACCCCTTCCTTAAGATGGGATGAGACACCAGGTCGTGCAAAAGGAAGTGAGACTCCTGGAGCCACCCCAGGCTCAAAAATATGGGATCCTACACCTAGTCACACACCTGCGGGCGCTGCTACCCCTGGACGGGGCGATACACCAGGCCACGCGACACCAGGCCATGGAGGTGCAACTTCCAGTGCTCGTAAAAACAGATGGGATGAGACCCCCAAAACAGAAAGAGGTACTTCTAGTGGAGTTTGGGTGTGTGCTTGGGTAAAATGTTGATTTGATGAGTGGTATGTTTATGGCCAAAATCTGTTCTCTCTGGTCCTAGGAAGACAGATAAATAAACAGATGCTTTTGAGACAGGTAAAGAACTGAGCAGATGATATACCTAATTCTTTTCCCTTCTTGAAGAGGTTTAAGATTTATTTTAGGAAGAACATTAGAAGAAAGTAAAGTTTGTATGCCATAACCTCTTTTTTATTGTAGTATAATATATATAACATAAAATTTATCATTTTAACCATTATAAGTGTACAATTCAGTGGCATTAAGTATATTCACAGTGTTGTGCAACCATTACCTTTATTCATTTCTAGAACTTTGTCATCATCCCAACAAAAACTGTACCCATTAAGCAATAACTCTCCATTCTTACTTCTCCCAGCCTTTGGTTACCTTTCATTTACTTTCTGTCTGTGTAAATTTGCCTAAATACCTTGTTTTTTGTGTAAACTCTCTAAAGCTGTATTTCATTAACTGTTTATGAGATTAGCGTTGGGAAGTTAAGATTTAACATTACATCTGCTATATTAAAATTTTATAAAGAATTTTTAATGATTGGGCAGAGTGCTTAACATGAAATGTAGGGAATTCCCTGGTGGTCCAGTGGTTAGGACTCGGTGCTTTCACTGAAGGGGCCCGGGTTCCATCCCTGGTCGGGGAACTAAAACTAAGATCCCACAGGCCGCATGGCGCAGCCCAAAAATACCCGGAAAAAAATACAATGGATGAGAGAGGCAGTATAGAATTGTACATGCAGAGTAATCTCACTCCATGGAGAAATGAAAAGTGGCCCAAGATACATAAACTGGCTGTCTATGGGTTGTATGTTGTGGGTAGTTGAAAAAATCCTTTGCTCTGTTTTCCTGTTCCTCGATGGTTATCATTTATTGTTTTTGTAATCCGTGGAAAAGATACAGTCAAGGAGAATAAATATGAAATGAAACATTAAAACTTAAATGTGTCTCCATTTTAGGAATATCCTGTTTCTGAAATTGATCAGTTTAAGTATATTAGTTGTCTGAAAATAGTCATTTTTTGACAGTGGTTAAAATTTTAGGCTTATTCACTCCTTTTCTTTAAAGATACTCCTGGACATGGAAGTGGATGGGCTGAGACTCCTCGAACAGATCGAGGTGGAGATTCCATTGGTGAAACACCAACTCCTGGAGCCAGTAAAAGAAAGTCACGTTGGGATGAAACACCAGCTAGTCAGATGGGTGGAAGCACTCCTGTTCTGACCCCTGGAAAGACACCAATTGGCACGCCAGCGATGAACATGGCTACCCCTACTCCAGGTAGAAACTTTATCATTGGAAATAATTTTTTCCCCTTGTTAGTATTTTGAATTTTTTCTTTGTGGTTTTTCTGTGTGCCATTAATGCCTATTTTTAGCAAGAATAACAGGATGTAAAAAGAAGTCTTGGTTTGAGTTTATAATATAAACAATTAAATGTTAGAATGGATTTTAACTATCTTATATCCCAAGGATCTGTGTAATGATAAAAGTCTTGCACTACATAGATTGTTACAGAAATTTGCTTTTTTGGTAGGTCACATAATGAGTATGACTCCTGAACAGCTTCAGGCTTGGCGGTGGGAGAGAGAAATTGATGAGAGAAATCGCCCATTGTCTGATGAAGAATTAGATGCTATGTTCCCAGAAGGATATAAGGTAAAAACAGTGAATATGAGTGTGGTGGTTTTTAGGATAGGGATTTTTTTTTGGCCACGCTGCGTGGCTCACAGGATCTGAGTTCACCAACCAGGGATCGAACCTGGGCCCCGGCAGTGAAAGTTCCGAGTCCTAACCACTAGACTGCCAGGGAATTCCCTGGATTTTATTTTAAATATTCTTTGAAAATACTAACTGGTCAAGTTTGCATTGGCCTTGCTCAAATTTACTACTGCCGTTTCATTCTTTAGCTGTTTCCAGGTATATTTCATTTCCAACATTAGATCATGGTTATTTTACTTGGTGTCTCACAAAATCTTGTGTATTTAGTTCATGGGTTGCCAGTGGACACGAAGAATGTTATGTTCTCTCTTTACCATAGCAACTTGAAGTTCATTTTGAACTACAAAATCGTGTAGGTACCTGTTACTCAAGGACCTTTTGCTGGTCTAAAAGTGGTCATATAGCTGATGTTATAACCAGGGCTGGAACCTAAGTCATTTGATGGCCTTTACAGAGCCTTTTCTGCCAATGCCTATTGCTTTTTTAACAGTTTTTATGTATGTATTTCCCCCTACCCCCTCATTAGGTTTGTATTAGAGTATTTGTTTCAAGTATGCATGAACTTACTGCTTTATAACTTCTTGTACCCTCCATGTAATGCTGTGGGTATAGTCACTCTCCAGCCTACTATTGACTGGCTAAGTGTCTGTTACAATTGCATTCATTGATTGGTTTATCAATAGGAGGGGGAAAATCCTCCTTTGTGAATCTTTTTTTTCTAATACAAGTTTTTTTCTTTTTTTTTCCTAAGAGGATAGTCATTACATCTTTTTAAAATTTACTTATTTTTGGCTGCATTGGGTCTTCATTGCTGCGCGTGGGCTTTCTCTAGTTGCGGGGAGCAGGGGCCACTCTTCGTTGCAGCGCGTGGGCCTCTCACTGCGGTGGCTTCTCCTGTTGCGGAGCATGGGCCCCAGGTACATAGGCTTCAGCAGCTGCAGCACGTGGGCTCAGCAGCTGTGGCTCGCGAGCCCTAGAGCACAGGCTCAGCAGCCGTGGCGCAGGGGCCCAGCTGCTCCGCGACATGTGGGATCTTCCCAGACCAGGGCTCGAACCCGTGTCCCCTGCAGTGGCAGGCGGATTCCCAACCACTGCGCCACCAGGGAAGCCCTCCTTTGTGACTCTTGAGTGAATTTTTTGGGTTTAGTCAAATGTTGTGTATTTACAGGGCTTTGGTGAATATTTTGGTTGTAGTTTTTATGCAGTCACTCATTTTTGTAGAACGACTTAAATATTAAGATTTGTTTTTGTAGAGATTTACATGAATTTTTAATTTATTATGAAAATATAATATTTTATATATTATGTGCACTTTGAGCTTATTTCAATTTATATGACATTGGTTCACCAACATGTTTATATAGACTGTTTGAAAGTGATCAGAATTTGTAAGCCCACTTTGTGTATCCTCATTTCCCCATACTTCTAATACACTTAATTTAAATTTGATGAGAAATAGTAATGTGTATTTTAAACTTATAAATAAGATAGAAAAATGGGATTGTTAATTCTTGCCTCTAAGCAAAAAGCATCTTAACTGCAAATATTGTTCATTTTTGTTATTATTTACTATGTAAAGTTAAGAAAATCCTAAACTGTCTTTTAACTGTATTAGGTACTTCCCCCTCCAGCTGGATATGTTCCTATTCGAACTCCAGCTCGAAAGCTGACAGCAACTCCAACACCTTTGGGTGGTATGACAGGTTTCCACATGCAAACTGAAGATAGAACTATGAAAAGTGTTAATGACCAACCATCTGGAAATCTTCCATTTTTAAAACCTGATGATATTCAGTACTTTGATAAACTTTTGGTAAGTGATAATACCAGAAATAAAATATTCCTTTTTATTTAGAAGTTACAGTATCTCCACTAACCTTTAAACTTTTTACTGTTAGGTTGATGTTGATGAATCAACACTTAGTCCGGAAGAGCAAAAAGAGAGAAAAATAATGAAGTTGCTTTTAAAAATTAAGAATGGAACACCTCCAATGAGAAAAGTAAGTACCAGTTTATTAAATCATCATGTTCATTATAATTTTAGAGATTCTCTATTTTATCATCAGAGCCTTTAAAATATGCTGAAGATTCTAATACAATTAGTGGAATTATGTGGGGTATTGTATTAGTATCATATGTGGCTTGAAGATGGTTGATCCTTTAGGAGAATTTAAGGAGTTTTATATTATACTCTGTGACTCTTTCTATTAAATTACCCTTTTTTAAAATTTATTTTTTATTGAAGTATAGTTTACTTACAATGTTGTGTTAATTACTGCTGTACAGCAAAGTGACTCAGTTATACATATATATACATTCTTTTTCATATTCTTTTCCGTTATGGTTTATCACAGGATATTGAATATAGTTCCCTGTGCTATACAGTAGGACCTTGTTGTTTATCCACTCTATATATACCAGTTTATATCTGCTAATCCCAGATTCCCAGTTCAACCCTCTCCCACCCCTCTCCCCATTGGCAACCACCAGTCTATTCTCTATGTCCCTGATTCTGTTTCTGTTTCATATATAGGTTCATTTGTGTCATATTTTAGATTCCACATGCAAGTGATATCATATGGTATTTGTCTTTCTCTTTCTGACTTACTTCACTTAGTATGGTAATCTCTAGTTGCATCCATGTTGCTGCAAATGGCATTACAGTAAGTCCCCTACATACTAATGAGTTCCGTTCTGAGGGTGCATTCATAAGTCCAGTTTGTTCTTAAGTCCAACAAAGTTAGCCTAGGTAACCCAACTAACACAATTGGCTAGTTATGTAGTACTGTACTGTGATAGGTTTATAATACTTTTCACACAAATAATACATAAAAAACAAAAAATAAAGCAGTTTTAATCTTACAGTACAGTACCTTGAAAAGTACAGTAGTACAGTACAATACCTGGCATACAGGGGCATGTTTGCATCTTTGAAAGTTCACAACTTGAAGGTTTGTATGTAGGGGACTTACTGTATTTTATTCTTGTTTATGGATGAGTAGTATTCTGTTGTATATATGCACCACATTTTCTTTATCCATTCATCTGTCGATGGTCATTTAGGTGTTTTCCATATCTTGGCTTTTGTAAATAGTTCTGCCATGAACATGGGGAGGGGTGCATGTATCTTTTTGAATTATATTTTTGTCCAGATACATGCCCAGGAGTGGGATTGCTAGATCATGTGGTAACTCTATTTTTACTTTTCTGAGGAACCTCCATACTGTTTTCCACAGTGGCTGCACCAACTTACATTCCCACCAACAGTGTAGGAGGCTTCTCTTTTCTCCACACGCTCTCCAGCTTTCAGTTACCCTTTTTGAATTAACTGAAAACATTGAGCCTTTAGCCCAAGAGTTCAGACTTCAGAGTAATTTTGATGGGAATGAACTCATGCTATTCTATGTAAGGTGTCTGAAGTTTACACTAAAATATTCAGTTACAGAAAACCGTGGAGTAATTAATTGGCTCATGCTTATAATAAAGAAATATGCCTATTACTCTTTTCTCTTCCAGGCTGCATTGCGTCAGATTACTGATAAAGCTCGTGAATTTGGAGCTGGTCCTTTGTTTAATCAAATTCTTCCTCTGCTGATGTCGCCTACACTTGAGGATCAAGAGCGTCATTTACTTGTAAAAGTTATTGATAGAATATTATACAAACTTGATGACTTAGTTCGACCATATGTGCACAAGGTTTGTTCTCAATTTGTGTTTCTAATGGTTTGATTTTATTTATTTATTTATTTATTTTTTTGGTTTGATATTTTTTAAGTAAAAGGAGTTAGTGGATTTTTTTGACCAGCTTATTATTAGGTGTATTTGTGAAATTTAAAAATTCTAAAAAAGTAACAGCTGATGTTACACATTCACAATAAAAAGGGAAATTTCAACCCCTTTAAAGATATTCAGTTAACCAATGTTAAATTTACATGCCCTCCCAGATCTTTTTCTTTGCACAAGCATACATACACAAATACATGTGTAAATAGATGTAACTTTTTGCCATCTTATATAGTGGGTTCATATTATTCATATTTTAAAATTTGCTTTTATTGATATTAGAATGAGAAAATGTATGTTTCTATACCATGCCATTTACTACTAAGAAGCATCTTTTTGCTGATGGTAATTATGGTTTAGAATTGTAAAATGCAGATGGGCGTGTGTGTGTGTGTACTGTGTGTATTTTATAGTCTGTGTAGTTAACAGTGCTCCCAAATACTCATCTTTATGTGGGGTTTCAACTTGTGTGATTAAAATTCTTAATTTGTCCCTTGATTAACAAAGTCCTGGTAATTATAAATTCCCTTACATGTACTGTTACTTGAGCATTGCATCAGTAATGGCTGTAAAAATGTAGCTCCTTCTCTTTTTCAGATCCTGGTGGTCATTGAACCATTGTTGATTGATGAGGATTACTATGCTAGAGTGGAAGGCCGAGAGATTATTTCTAATTTGGCAAAGGTATTTATGTTTCTGGAGAAGAAAGTTTTATATATGTTGATAGGATTATTTGATTTTATTATTTTTTTTAATTTATTTTTTTTTTTTGCGGTACGCGGGCCTCTCACTGCTGCGGCCTCTCCCGCTGCGGAGCACAGGCTCCGGACGCGCAGGCCCAGCGGCCATGGCCCACGGGCCCAGCCGCTCCGCGGCATGTGGGATCCTCCCGGACTGGGGCACGAACCTGTGTCCCCTGCATCGGCAGGCGGACTCCCAACCACTGCGCCACCAGGGAAGCCCGGATTATTTGATTTTAGAATGGAATGATTGAGGGTTAATGTTATCAACTCATGACTGTTGCTTTTTTCTTAAACTTTCAGGCTGCTGGTCTGGCTACTATGATCTCTACCATGAGACCTGATATAGATAACATGGATGAGTATGTCCGTAACACAACAGCTAGAGCTTTTGCTGTTGTAGCCTCTGCCCTGGGCATTCCTTCATTATTGCCTTTCTTAAAAGCTGTGTGCAAAAGCAAGAAGTCCTGGCAAGCAAGACACACTGGTATAAAAATTGTACAGCAAATAGCTATTCTCATGGGCTGTGCCATCTTGCCACATCTCAGAAGTTTAGTTGAAATCATTGAACATGGTAAGTTGTAGTATAACTGTCTTTTGTAAGACAGTTTCCTGAAATTTAGGCTACTGATTCTTGGAGAGAGAAATGGAAGGTAAACTACACAAACACCATATAGTTTACGATTGGATTTGTAATATTAGCTGCTAATAGGCTGTGGTTCATACTGGCTTTTGCCTAATTTTGTCTAATGGGAACAGATTCTGCAATTTGACTAAATAGCTAGATATATTTCTAGAATCTGCATGATGCTATGGAAGTTAGGTAATGTTGCTTAGTTAAAACCTGTGTTTGGTTTTTTATAGGTCTTGTGGATGAGCAGCAGAAAGTTCGGACCATTAGTGCTTTGGCCATTGCTGCCTTGGCTGAAGCAGCAACTCCTTATGGTATCGAATCTTTTGATTCTGTGTTAAAGCCTCTATGGAAGGGTATCCGCCAACACAGAGGAAAGGTAGATTTACCAGTTTGATTTCATTTTTCTTTTTATTTCTACTCATTGAAGTTCAAGTGACTTAAAGCCTAGTTACTAAGTATATATATATTTTTTATTTTAAAATAGGGCCTGGCCGCTTTCTTAAAGGCTATTGGGTATCTTATTCCTCTCATGGATGCAGAATATGCCAACTACTATACTAGAGAAGTGATGTTAATTCTTATTCGAGAATTCCAATCTCCTGATGAAGAAATGAAGAAAATTGTGCTGAAGGTAATTGTCCCAAATTGTTGCTGTTCCAGATTTGTTAATCTAAATGTGTTTCATGGTTCAAAGAGAATTTTATATCATTTTAAAAAAACTTGTGTATTAAACCAGGACTGTGATTACTATTATTATTTTTTAACATTTTAGGTGGTAAAGCAGTGTTGTGGAACAGATGGTGTAGAAGCAAACTACATTAAAACAGAGATCCTTCCTCCTTTTTTTAAACACTTCTGGCAACACAGAATGGCTTTGGATAGAAGAAATTACCGGCAGGTAAGCTTTTATCATAAAATAGTTTCAGAAATTCTTTCAACTGATCCTTTAGTCAGTTTGAATGCATATTACATAAGTTATTTTTTGCCTTGAGAAACTCACAGGTTGTTTGTGTTTGATTGTGAAAGGAGATGGATTTTAGTCAGCCAGTTAACTTCCATTTTGCTTTTGTATTCTAGGATAGATAGCCAACTATGAATTGACATTTTTGTCTAGTAAATGAACTGCTTAATCTGGCTAGGTGAAGCATGAATACAATCGTAACCTTAAATCTCCTTGACTTAGACTCATATTTAAATGTTTTTGGCCACCTTTTTCTTAAAGTTTTAATAGTAGGAGCCATCTGTCCTCAGCATGCTTACTAGCTAAATAGTATCTTTAGAATATTCCATTTTCATGATGTCTCTTTATTTCCTTGGAAAAGCAGTAAATTAAATGATTTTTCCTCCTCTTTTTAGTTAGTTGATACTACTGTGGAGTTGGCAAACAAAGTAGGTGCAGCAGAAATTATATCCAGGATTGTGGATGATCTGAAAGATGAAGCTGAACAGTACAGAAAAATGGTGATGGAGACAATTGAGAAAATTATGGGCAACTTGGGAGCAGCAGACATTGATCATAAACTTGAAGAACAACTGATTGATGGTATTCTTTATGCTTTTCAAGAACAGACTACAGAGGTAATGATACTAATTATTAGGCAAGTTGCCACTGACTTTCATATTTGTAAAACATATTTTCAAGTAAATATTATCACCAAAGAGTAATTAAATTTGAAATAATTTTTAAATGTTCATGTTCTCATGCAGTTGGCTACAAAGAAATACTCTTCTACCTCAAATTTTTAGGTTAGATTTTTGGAAACGGAATATAATTATATTTCAACTGTTTAGTCACAAACTGAATTCTTGTTCACATTGAATGTAGGTTTTAAATTTAACTTCGCTTTTTTTTTTTTTTTTTTTAAGGACTCAGTAATGTTGAACGGCTTTGGCACAGTGGTCAATGCTCTTGGCAAACGAGTCAAACCGTACTTGCCTCAGATCTGCGGTACAGTTTTGTGGCGTTTAAATAACAAATCAGCAAAAGTTAGGCAACAGGCAGCTGACTTGATCTCTCGAACGGCTGTTGTCATGAAGACTTGTCAAGAGGTAAACTTTTATATCAGATTCTTATTTCTTCACCAAAAGGAGTAATGTAAACAGTAACATTTCATCATCATCATTTTTTTATTACAGGAAAAATTGATGGGGCACTTGGGTGTTGTTTTGTATGAGTATTTGGGCGAAGAGTACCCTGAAGTATTGGGCAGCATTCTTGGAGCACTGAAGGCCATTGTAAATGTAATAGGTATGGAATTTGTTGGTCATGTAAGAATTTTTTGTTTTGTATTTTAAAGTTTCTTTGGTATTTTGAAAGTAAAATAGAGAATCCTATTTAGGAGTTGACTAATGAATGTCTGATACTTTTTTTTTAACCACTGAAAATTACAGTTAAGTTGGGATGTCACAAGAATCTTATCTCCCAAAGTCTATTTATATTTTACTTTAAAAGAGAGAAAGAGGGCAAGTTTAGGACCTGCAAGAGAGGAGGAAGTAGTCACAACTCAAAAAACTTTGAAGTCATGGGATAGAGGGCCCTAAAAAAATTGTGTGTCACCTGAAATATATGGGAGAGGAGGTGGTGGGTGGAGAGAACTCTAAAGTTTTATATATTTATTCAACCTTGAATTAGTAAATGGTTATGGTAGGTTTTCCTGCTTGCTATTAAGTTCAAGGAACAATAACCAGAGAGAAAAGTGAATTGATCAAGTGACCTCATTTTTATTTAAATCCAATTCTTTTAAACTGTCCTTTCAGTTCTTTATTCAAAGTTAAAACAGAGGTGTATTACAAACGCTCTTGGGTGTGGAGAACAAAGCTTTTCCTCTTTAAGGGCATTATGATGGAACAAACAAATGGTCTCCTGTTTTATCCTTCATTATAAGTGAATGTAACTATTGCAAAAGTAACTTCTACGGAGTTTAGAGGGACAGAAATAACCTATCAAGAGGTCGAAATAGCTGGCTGTGATAGCCACTATTTTTCTCATTTTAGTAAGGGGTTTTTATACAGTATAGGAGGTCTTCAAACCATCGCATTTACATATAATCCCCAGTTCAGCCCTTTCCTCTCTCTCTACTTGGAGATACTTGCCAAAAATCAGTTACTTGGCCACTTGTGGGGCTCTGGTTTGCAGGGAATTGTAAACCATATTGTTGGTCAGAGAAACATGGGAAAAGCAATGGAGAGAGAATCAGAGCAAGCAGTTCTAGTTAGAGCAAGAGCCCCTGCCAGCTGCCTCCTTTTTTCTCTCTTCATAGGTGTAAATACCATCCAAGTATGCCCTGCATTGCAGGGAGACTGGAGATCTGTTTGTTTTGCAGTTAAAGGGTAAGGGGGCCCTTTCTGGAAAATTTTGCTTTAATTTACATGTCTACCTCTGGCTTATATTGTTGTGTATGGCCGGAACATAAGCTGTCCCCATATTTAAATGTCAGTGTACAAATACATTTCAGAACCAAATAAAACTTTTTTTTGTTGTTGAGTATCCATCATTCTTTAAATCACTTCACTAATTTCTTTCATTTTTATGCATAATCAGAAGTTGTTAATAAAAAGTTAAAAATTCTGCGTTTGATCTGAAGCTGGGGCTTTTTCTTTCCATAGGCAGCTGTAAGTTTGTATTTATGCCTAGTCACGTATATTACATTGTTAAATAAAAGGTAAAATGAACAAAGGTTGCAGTTCACGTGTTAATTGATAGTGTGTTTGACTTCTGTTAAATAGGTATGCATAAGATGACTCCACCAATTAAAGATCTGCTGCCTAGACTCACCCCCATCTTAAAGAATAGGCATGAGAAAGTACAAGAGAATTGTATTGATCTTGTTGGACGTATTGCTGATAGGTAAGCAGATTACCTAAACATTTTAATAAGCAGTATTGTGTTTCACATTTAGCCACTTTTATTCACTTTGCAAATTTGCTTATTGTTTCTAATGTAAGTATATATGGTCAGGCTAATATTTCAGTAATATTTTCAAATTTGAATGGTAATGAGGGAGTGGCAGTATATTTTTAAAACTAAACCATCCTTTCTGAGCAGTAATAATAATTTTATTTAATGCTTAAAATGAATTGGTAATCATGTTTTGAGAACTGAATTTGCAGATTTACCTTTTAAAACTTATTGTTACAAAAAATTTAACTTTTTTTTTTTTAAACTAGGGGAGCTGAATATGTGTCTGCAAGAGAATGGATGAGGATTTGCTTTGAGCTTTTAGAGCTCTTAAAAGCTCACAAAAAAGCTATTCGTAGAGCCACAGTCAACACATTTGGTTATATTGCAAAGGCCATTGGGTGAGTATTATTTACTTCTGTGTATTTTTTTTTTTTTTTTTTTTTTTTACTTTGTAATAGACCCATTGTAGTGTTAAAAGGTGTTTCCATTTCTGTAGACTCTCTCTTAAGGCAAGGTATGAGTAATGCAGTTAGAATAGACTTTATTTATGTTTTTTAGAATAGACTTCAACCACTGACCTTCAGTTTTTGAAATGTTTTCTTAAATGTTAAATTGAATTAAAATAGATGGAACAGTTTAAAATTTCATTTAGTCACACTTCACTATTTTCAGAAGAGGGAAACAGTACCATTTCAGAATAATTTCAAATTTTGTTGGTCCTTTTAGGATATTGCTTAAAATATTAAGGCCAGTTCTTAGTAAAACAATTAACATAATTCAGTTTTCATGTTAATGCTTTATGTGTTTTAAAAATATTTTTCTAAAATTAATCCACAGACAACTGAATGATAGCTATTTTATTAGATAACCTATGGTTATTTGCTTCTGCTCCACCAGAACCAAACTAGAAGAAACAGTCATTGTAGAAAATGAGATACTTATGTATATGTGGCTTAATAACTAAATATTTTCAAGCAATAAAACGTAACAAAAGTTGGATTATTTAATTAGAGTCTCCCCACATGCCTTTTGGTAGCAATAATATTTTTTCATCTGTGATGTAGTTAAGAAGTTGGCAATGAATAGCTGTTGTTAACTTTTTAGTTCCTATGTCCCTTTAAATTTGTGGTAGAATAAATGCTTAAAGAAGGAGAATAAATGTGGTAAAGGTGTGTGGGAGGGAGGATTTTGGAAAACAGATTTTGTGTGTTGTGGCATTGGAGACCACAGTTTATATACTACTGTAAGGTTGCCTGCTCTAGTGGCCATGTTCTGACCACTCAAAGAATTATTCAGTCTAAACATTTAATGAAATTTCTTTTTGTTTCAGGAAATATACTAAAGACTGTAAATTATATTTGAAAATGAAGCCATTTGAATTTTTTCATTAAAATGAACACTTTAATTTAAATGAAGTTCTTAAGTAGAAACCGTAATGCCAGTGACTTGAAAGTATTGCATTTTAGCATAAAATTACTAAGTTCCCAGTAATTACTTAGCATGAAGTTCCATTCCTTTGATTATTTTTCTTCCCTCCAAAAAAATTTTGACTTGTAAACTAACAGTTTGCTGACACATTTATTTTTTTCCAGCCCTCATGATGTATTGGCTACACTTTTAAACAACCTCAAAGTTCAGGAAAGGCAGAACAGAGTTTGTACCACTGTAGCAATAGCTATTGTCGCTGAAACATGTTCACCCTTCACAGTACTACCTGCCTTAATGAATGAATACAGAGTTCCTGAACTGAATGTTCAAAATGGAGTGTTAAAATCACTTTCCTTCTTGTTTGAATATATTGGTGAGATGGGAAAGGACTACATTTATGCTGTAACACCACTCCTTGAAGATGCTTTAATGGATAGGTAAGTGACTTGAACTAAATGCAAGAAAATAGTTATAATTCTTCTTTTATTTTAGAACTTATGGAAGTAATTATTATATGACCTGTTTGTTGTGATGTAGTGAAAGAAGGGACTATTAGTCTGAATTTTTATGAAACTATAAATAAATTAGGACTATTATCTCTAAATAAGATAGATGCTATAGTGGTTCCCCCAATTTTTTTTCCAAGTGCCCCCTCCCTGTTTTAATAGCCCCCCGCCTTTTGGCCACACACATGGCTCACAGGATCTTAGTTCCCTGACCAGGGATTGAACCTGGGCCCCGGCAGTGAAAGTGCTGAGTCCTAACCCCTGGACCACCAGGGAATTCCTGATCAACTTTTGTTTTAAAAATTAAAGTCAAATATAATTAGAGGAAATGTTGAGCATGAGCTTATCGGTATGGCAAAGAGACCCGATCTTTTTAGCTTTTTGTTACGGCAGATGAAGCAGAGGTTTCTATAAGGCTTTTGAACTACTGAACATAGCCTGCCAGAGCCACACTATTCCCACTGCAGGCCCCCAGTTATTCAGGTGGTGACCACCGATAAAGTACTGCTTGAAGTGATTGATAGAGTCCTGATACCAAGAAACATTACTTTAGTTGGGAAATTTACTAAGGGGGAATACAGCTTCACTTCAGTCTATGCCTAATAGATTATTACAATAAATAAGAGAAATAAGGATGCTAGTAACTAAGTTCAGATGTTTTTTTCTCTTATACCTTTAAGGTACTCTTCCTGCCTTTGAGGGTAAAGAGTGTGAACTTGTTTTTATACCCTTCATAGACCCGTTATCTGATGCTTGTAGTCAGTTGAATAATTGTGGAATAAATAACTCAATGACTTGTCATAAACATAAGTTCATTTAAAACATGGGAGGTGATAGGAGTTCTTATTTCTGGGTTTGAAAAAATTATTGGTCCTTCTCTTCCTTTCCCTAAATTGAGTTCTTGAATGAACCTTTAAAAAAAATTGACAAGGGAAGAGATTTAGTCTCAATTTAGTTATCTGTTGTATTGAATTACTTTCAAAGGTTTTAAGTTTACAGAGTTTAAAATGAGATATTACTGTTAATCATTCGTATGTAAGAGTCATGTGTTCTCTCTCATTTTTAGTAGCATATAAAATGTACACTGTGCTCGGCTTTCTTGCTTATATTACTTTCAAAGAAAAATATGGTTTATTTTTGAGCCAGAGTGAGGTTTGAGTCGTTAAAGCAAAGTTCTCAAGTAGAATCATTAGTCACTCTAAAAGCATTCTGTATCAGATACATAAGGTGTGGGGATGACTCTGCATCCATTCCATGCACTGAATTTGTGATTTAGTTTCTAACGGGCAGGCATGTATCTTCTGTGAAACTAAGACTGTATCTTAACAAAGAGCTTTCTCCCCCTCTGTTACAGGGACCTTGTACACAGACAGACGGCTAGTGCAGTGGTGCAACACATGTCACTTGGGGTTTATGGATTTGGTTGTGAAGATTCACTGAATCACTTGTTGAACTATGTATGGCCCAATGTGTTTGAGACATCTCCCCATGTAATTCAGGCAGTTATGGGGGCCCTGGAGGGTCTGAGAGTTGCTATTGGACCATGTAGAATGCTGCAGTATTGTTTACAGGTAGGTCAAAGATTTTTAAAAGAGTACTCATTGAAAAAAGTAATTTTAGTTGAATTAAGTCACTGTTCCTAATTATCAGTAGGGTGTGTTTTTGCCATACGGGAGAACAGTTGTGAGGGGAGGGAGGGAGGATTAGATTTTGTCTTTGCCCTCTGCAGTTTTGTGCAATTGCCATCTTGTTTTCTCTCTCAAAGGGAAATGCTTGCAACCATATCTTTATGGTTTGTTAGTTGTGTTAAGGTTGTGTATTTCTTGAAGTAATGTAGCCTTTTAATTATTCTAGGGTTTGTTTCACCCAGCCCGGAAAGTCAGAGATGTGTATTGGAAAATTTACAACTCCATCTACATTGGTTCACAGGATGCTCTCATAGCACATTATCCAAGAATCTACAATGATGATAAGAACACCTATATTCGTTATGAACTTGACTATATCTTGTAACTTTATTGTTTATTTTGTGTTTAATGCACAGCTGTTTCACACCTTAAACTTGCTTCGATTTGGTGATGTAAACTTTTAAACATTGCAGATCAGCATAGAACTGGTCATAGAGGAAGAGCTAGAAATCCAGTAGCATGATTTTTAAATAACCTGTCTTTGTTTTTGATGTTAAACAGTAAACGCCAGTAGTGACCAAGAACACAGTGATTGCACACACTATTCTGGAGGGCTTTCATTTTTAATTCATCTTTATGAAGATTTAGAATTCATTCCTGTGTTTAAAGGGAATGTTTAATTGAGAAATAAACATTTGTGTACAAAATGCTAACTTGTGTGTGTTTTTTGAACATGACTTGTAAAATACGGAACTTTGATAAAGTACTGGTTTGTGTAGAATAAGTGGCTTTATATCATTTTCTGTCACCTGGTTTATAGAAAGTAGCAGAATACAAGTGATATAAAGTGATGGCATCTTTGTCAAAATTCCATTGTTCTGTTGATAATGACATTGAGAAGAGTAGCTTTGGGGGTGTTCACCTCAAACTAGTACAACCCTTCCATCACCATAGAAACTATAGCATCTTTGCTGAACTGTCTTGAATAATATTATTTTGCACTTACATAGCGCCTTTCATCTCTTGATTTCTCAAAATGCTTTATGAACATGCTTAAGGGAAGTGATTCAAGTCATATCCAACTCTTGATGATTCTGTGTAGAACGTGGGGCAAGTGTCTTTACTTTAAAACTGCCTTGTACCTATTGGGAGTGAGGCTACTACCTAAGTAATGCTAGTTAGAATAAGACAATCTTTGGGCTCTTTTCCCATGTCATAAGCCACTATTCAACAATATATTTAGTAAATACCTGTTAAACACCTACTGTATACCAGCCAGTGTGCTTAGTTGTAGGGATGCAAAGGTGCTTTTGACATGCCCCTTGCCCTTAAGAAATGCAGTATAATGGAAAAGGGGAGACATCTAGTTACAGATTAGTTATGTACTGATATTATACAACGGTAGCAGCTGAAATGTCTAGGTTTGCTTAGTTTTGCATTTAGTAATCAGATAATGAATTGATCTGTAGGTGTCAAGCATAAACTGAAATGCCATTTAAATCTAGAGGAACCAAGCATTAAGGCAGTAATTTTTTATATATAATAAAGTATATCTTCAGTTTTCCCTAATTTTCTGGCCAAAAATTTCTTAGTCCTTCACTTCCCATAGCTGTTTTATTTTGTCTCCTTATGTAATAGTATTGAATACTTCTGTGCAGTCTAATGGGAAATGAGCTTCTGCAGCAGCCTAAGCATAGGATGACTCTGCCACAGTAAGTAAAACCAGTATACTGAGACTAGGAGGTTTATTGATTGAACTGTTAATACTTAGGGCTCCCTGTTGTGGAGGCTTACTTGAGAAACAGCTTATAATTGGCTGACTTGTACAGAATTGATATTGAGCATTAGCTGACCCTCCAGGCAGAATTTATAACTCGTTTCTTGTGTGACATAACTTTGTGACAACATGGTAATGTGTACTAAATTTCCAAAATTATCTTTTTAGAAGTTTTTGTAATAATAGCCCCCATACAACTTTAAATCTTGCTTTTCTCTGTATTCGATGTCAGATGACCTTCAGTAATTACTAATCATGAAAATTGAATACAATGGATTTCAAAGGGAAAATTTGGTTTTAAACCAGTCTTGGGGAAATTTAGTTACATTTTCGCTTCAGGTACTTGTATAACTTGAATTTGCTTGGGCCCTTGCTCTTTATGTAAAACATCTGTGCTTTGTAGTGGCAGTGTTGAGCAAAGGAGGCTTTACCTGTAAGTGACTTTTTACTGATACAAATTTGAGGACAGAGGTGAGGCAAATACTGAGGCCTACGATCTTGAAAGTTGGGACCAAATCGAGGCTCACAAATGTTTGGATTATTTTACATACTTATTTGAATCAGGAAAGCATTTTGTGAGGTACTCATGTGAAAGACGCTATGTGAAGTTTTAACTATCTTTCAAAGACTTTTTCTTTCGCACTTTCCTTTGGTGTTTCTTAAAGCCAGACTTAAGCAGGAAGAAATTAATGTTCTTAAGGGGACAGTAGGTGGGTCTTTCTGTGGGCTTTTGCTGGTTTTTCTGTGGGCCCTCTAATGGAAATGATCTCTTTGGCTGTTCAATTTTTTTCTTATTGTATTTTTTAAATTTGTTGTATGGTGCCCTGTGAGCATCAAGTACCACCAGATGAATAAAACTTCTTATATCTAAAGTCTTAGAGCAGTTTTTAATCTTAGTTGACTTTGTATTGTTCCTGTACTACACTCTGTTGTGGTTGTGCCATTTTAATAATATTGAGCTCTTTGGGTTGTTTTCCAAATATGGGAACTTAGTATGGAAAAACCGAAGAACTTTTTCTTTAAAAGAAACTGAAAAAGACAATTGCAGTCATGTAGGCTCAGTTGTTGGGTTCTTTGGTGTTCAGTGCTTCTTAAATCCCACAAGGTTACATAAAGCAGGAACTACGGCTGTCACAGGGTTTTTCAACCTTGGCATTATTGACATTTTGGGCCAGACACATCTTCATCGTGGGTCACTGTCCTGGGCATTGTAGGATGTTGAGTAGCATCCCTGACTACCCAGTAGATGCTAATAGCACTCCCACCCCAGTAGTGATGACCCAAAATGCCTCCAGATATTGTCTCGTACTCTGGAGGACAAAATCTCCCTAGCTTGAAAACCATTTTGAAACTTGTTTAAGCAGGACTCAAATATGTCTGGTAAACAACAAAGCATGATGTAAAAAGTGTTTCATTTTCGGCAGCAGTTACCTAGGAAGGAACTAGATTTAGTATTTCACAAATACTTAAACACCTACCTTGGGCAAATCTCCGCATCAGACCTGGGACCAAGAAGCTGAAAACATGTAAAATGTGGACTGCTTTCTGGTCCTCAGAGCATCTTGTGGCCGAGTTGGAGCCAGGTGCACAGCACTGGGGCAGGAGCGTCAGCTTCTTGGTGCTCTACTTTGAATACAGTTGTTCAGCGCCCTGGTTATCACCTGTGAGAGGTGGGGTGGGTGGTATGGCTGGAGGAGGAGGGCAGGCAGGAAACGGAGACCCTTGGTTCTTCTTGTTAAGAAAATGTGGATAGGAAGCTGTGGAATGTAAGGTGACTCATGGTGAATTTAGATTTGCGATGCGGTCATGAAGATTTAGTAAATGCGAGAGAGTAGGTCAATGACGTTTCTAGTGTTCGTGCTAGAAAAGCTAAGTTTTAAAAATTTATTCTTAACAGTTTTATCATTTTATAATACAAAAAGATTATAAAAGGACATGCTTGCATGTCAGGTTAGACAATAGACTTGTTAAATTTTTTTGGAAGTAAATTTTTTTGTTTTTTGTGGAAGGAAATTTTTAACGGGCAACAGGCTCTGGAGGGAATTTGTGTTATCGTGGAGTATCTTTGTGCTAGGAAAAAACAATAGGAGAAATTGTTAATTGTTCCTGTATCTAACTCCCCGCCAAGCTTAAAAATGTACAAATATTGAGAAAAGTTGAAAGAATAGTACAATGAACACCTGTATATCCACGTAAATTGAGTAGTTAAAATTTTGCTGCATTTGCTCTCCTTTTTTTTTTTTTTTTTTTTGCGGTACGCGGGCCTCTCACTGTTGTGGCCTCTCCCGTGCCGGAGTACAGGCTCTGGACGCGCAGGCTCAGCGGCCATGGCTCACAGGCCCAGCCACTCTGTGGCATGTGGGATCTTCCCAGACCGGGGCACGAACCCGTGTCCCCTGCATCGGCAGGCGGACTCTCAACCACTGCGCCACCAGGGAAGCCCTGCTCTCCTTTTTTAAATAATGTAATTTCATGAAACAATTTTCTGTCAGTATTACTGCAGAGAAATTTGGGACCAGATAAAAAGGAGGCTGGTTAGCAAAAGAAAACAGGTAACTGAATGAGTTTCTGATGAGTTGGAAGTCAGGGCACAGATGGAGGAATTTTCTTGGACAGGAAGAGAAACATCTTTCCCTGAGTCCATAAGGAAGACAGCGATGTGGTGGGATGTAGGCATGAAAAGTTTGTCCATGGCGTATCAGAGAGCATCGAAATATAGAAGTAGTTTTACTGCTATTTTAGAAACAAGTAGACATAGTAAGGAAAATCAGACTTACAAAAAATTCAAAGCCCCCCAAATTTTAAAACCTGGTAAAGTTTAACAACTGGTGTCTGTAGTATATAATGTGTACACTGTGTAATATGCAACTGGGTGCTCTGTTTAGTTTTTGATCACCGAGGCATAATCTACACACTTGGGAAGAAAATCAGTTAGCTCCAATATGGTCACCAAGGGAAGACTTCAGATGCCAGATGTCTAGGTCATTGCTACTGAAAGTGTAGTCTGGAGATCAGAAGTATCAGTATCCCTTGGAGTTTTTTAGAAATACAGACTCTACCCCAGACCTCCTGAAAGGATCTGCATTTTAGTAAGATCCTGAGGTGACTTACATGTACATTAAAGTTTGAGAAGCCATCGTCTAGGGTACCACTCCATTCCTGATGTGGTAATGATATGGAAATAAGGACCAAAGTTCCTATTATAGGTATGAAAGCAAGTTGGCCTATAGACACAGATAGCCAAGAGGTGATCAGAACAACCCCACGACGGTACCTTGCTGAAACGTGGGTGAAATCAAAAGGGAGGGAATGAAAGAAGGAGAAATGTTTCTTTTTTATGGTAGAGAATTGCTTTTTCTAATAAGGCTGTGCTATGGACTGAATGTGTCCCCCCAAATTCATGTGTTAAAACCCTGATCCCTAATGTGATGGAGGTAAATAGGTCATGAGGGTGGAGCCCTCATTAATGGGATTAGTGTTCTTATAAGAAGGGATATGATGACACAAATGAACTTATCTACGAAACAGAGACAGACTTACAGACACAGACAACAGACTTGTTACCAAGCAGGAGGAGGCGGGGAGGGATGGATTGGGAGTTTGGGTTTAGCAGATGCAAACTATTATATACAAAATGGGTAAACAACAAGGTCCTACTGTGTAGCACAGGGAACTATATTCAATATCCTGTGATAAACCGTAATGGAAAAGAATATGTGTGTATGGGTATATATATATCTGAATCACTTTGCTGTACGGTAGAAATTAACATTGTAAATAAACTACTTCAATAAAATAAATTAAAAAAATTAAAAAAAAGGGATATGAGAGCTGACCCTCTGTCTTGTCAGGATGCAATGAGAAAATGGTTATCTGTAAACTAGGAAGCAGGCATGCCCTCACCAGACACTGAAACTTGCTCACACCTTGATCTTGAACTTCCTAGTCTCTAGAACTGTGAGGAACAAATGTTGGTTGTTAAGCCACCCAGTCTATGATATTCTGCTAGAACGACATAAACTGACTAAGACAAGCCGGTTAGGTCAATGTAATAGGTGTATATCCATATTGCTTCTCCTACTTACTGGTTGACATTGTAGGAGAATCTTGACCTGAAGAGATGGAGGCTCACTCTAGAGGCCCATATGAGCTGGACTGGCACAAGAGCCAGACAGCCTGTTGAGAATCCTCTTGCTACCTTTACCATATTCTATGGGAAAAGTAGAACAGGGAATCAACATAGTACAGATTTACAGTTGGCTCTGGAGTTTATACTGGGACTTGGATTTATAACCTGCATATGATACTTAGTGGCTCTATGACTTTGGGCAAGTTATTTGACCTCTCTATGCTTCAGTTTCCCAAATTCAGTTTCCTAATTTGTAGGAAGGGGATGATAATAGTACCTGTTCAATAAGTGGTGGACCTTGTGAAAATTAACTGAGATAATGCCTTTAAGGTAAAATGCCTAAGCATAGTGCTTAATAAATGTAACGGCTGTTGATATAATTTATTATTTTTATTATCACGAGGGAGGAGACCTCTTTTGTCATTGCTAAAATTGGAGGGGATGGAGATTGGTAGGTATCTTGAGGAGAAGACTTTGGAGAACACTTGAGGGAGAATGGAGACCTTTAGGATTTAACTGATAGCCCCACGGAATTGCAGAATGTTCTCTAGCATTGCTCAACAGCCCAGGTGGATGGCGAAGGTATTTGGTTGGATTGATCTCAGGTGCAGCAGAAAAAGTGAGAAGATTAGGGTATTGGCCTGAGTGCCGTTGAAGACCTGAAAGCATAGGTTTACTGTTCAAATCTTCAAATCATTGTAGAAGGAACTGGTGTCACTCAGTGGTTAGAATCACACTCCACTTCTCAAATTTTAATTGTTTGGAGACGGTGACATGCTTCTGCCTCAGATACTTAACTGATGAGATATGCAATGCAATACATTTTCATTTTCCGATGGCCATTTTTATATATTCATTGCATTAAATAACCTTGAACAAATGACCTATTTGGTTTTTAAGTTTATGAAAGCATGGATTTAAGGGGATTTGAGAAATGTTTTCTCAGCGGTGTAAAAGAAGTATCTGTAACTTAAGTAACGAGTTCACTCATTCATTCATTCATTTGACAAACATTTACTAAGTGCCAACTATTACAAGGCCAGCTGCTTTAAACATAGTTGAAAAGGTCCTTCCCTTAAAGATGGTGAAGAAAATATTGACATAATGGTAATAGAGAAGATAATGCCAAAACAAAGCTGCCCATCAAGTTCTCAGTGGGTTCAGAGGACAGAGCTTCCTTCATGTGGGAGAGAGAGGAGTGCTTGACCTTAAATTTGAGGAGAAGTTAGAATGGCACATATGGTGTTGGAAGGAAGGATGAAAAGGTTTAACAAGTAGTGGAAGTTTGGGTTGTGTTGAAGAAAGTGTGGGCCAGTGGACGGCTCTAGTGATACGAAATAGTGGAAGATCAGATGTAGCCCCAAGAGGTTTGGGCCAGTATCTGATAATGTCTGCAGCACCAAGTATAGTTCCTTCCTTACCAGGTACCCAATACATATTTATTGAACAGATGAATGAAATGAGGTGAATTTTATCTCAGTTTAGGGAGAACTTCCAAGGCCGTTCTTTAAACTTTATAGACAGTGGGTAACCACTGACTATTCAACATTCATTTAGTCAACAAATATTTACTGAAGGTTTTCAAGTAGGGAAATGGCATAAATTTGAACTCTGCTGCAGGAAGATCAATATTCCTGGTTCACTTCCTGGATCTACAGCATAGATGTATATAAAGAGTTTGTCCAAGAAACATTCTCAGGGCAGAGTTAGTTCAAAGAAGACACTTAGACTGATTAAATCAAAGACCCCACCCAACACCTTTCTCCCACCTCCTTTACTGTGACACTGTGGCCCTGCAGGTCGCTGTCTCATCGCTAGCCAACCACTGCAGAAGAAATTGGCCAGTTGTGGAAGGAATTGATACAAGCTGGTTTCATGTTTTTCAGTTGCTTACTTGCTTGCTACTTTCTCTAGATGTCCAATCTTTAGGGGTCTGGAGGGTGTTAGAAAAATGTTTTTTTATACCACAAAATAGAATATTCTGTATCTTTCAGGCAGAAACGATTAATAGTGAACCTTCCGAAAGACTGTGGCTAATTTGACTTGCATGTTGAGCGGCTTCCTGGACATTTTCCACAGGAGAGTTGGGATTGATGAGCTGTCACTGTTATTCCTGGAGCGGGGCACTGAGGTGCTCTAGCCAGCCACCCCACAAGATCATGTACACATGTCATAAGAGGGTAAGGAAACAGAAGCAGTTAATGCTCTGCAGATTTTAATATTTCTCTGTCTCCACCTTGAAATTATACATGGATCCTACGTTTTAGTATTTTTCTTAGAGGGAAAAAATAGCCTCTTCTTGCTCTAATAAGAAAAATAAATTTGTAATTAGCTGTTAATGGTATCAATCATCTCTGCCCAAGAAATATTATTAAAGGGGATCAAGCTACTTAATCCCTTTATTGCAGTTACTGAGTCTAGTCCATGGATGTTTGCCATGGCCTACCAGAGTTATCTGTCTTAAAAAGAGTCCCAAACAATTTGGACTTCTGCAAAACAAAAAAGTGGCCTGAAAAGGGATGGATAGTAATTACTACTTAATATTACTTTGGATTAAAAAAAACATGAAGGAAAATCCTTTTTGAATGCAATGCTGTTTTCTTATGTGCTGAAATTTTTGTCGTGCTAGTTTTAACAAGAATTAATTAACTGGGGCCTAGAAGAGAGAAGGAAATCATTCCTGATCTTGGCAAGGTCCTAAAACAGTGAGATACGGGCAAATAAAGAATGCTGTCATGATTAGAACCTTGGTGTTCAAAGGAAAAATTATGAAACCTGCATTTATTGAATAAACAATTATACAAGCCTTACATTTGATTAATATTTCATAATTTCCAAAGTGCTTTAGCATCAGTTTCTTCATTTGTTTCTCACAACAGCCTTATGAAGTAGGTATTTATTATGCCAGTTGTTCAGAGGAGAAAATTAAAGGTCAGAGAGGTTTAGTGGTAGTGCTATCATTTGAACCATGGCTGGTCTGACCCCAAGCCGGTGCTCTCTCCACTGGTGCATGTATTCAGTGTTTGTTTTCTTTTTAATTTAAAAATTTTAAATACAATTATTGGCTGTATTCCCCATGTTGTGCAGTACATCCTTGAGCCTATCTAACACCCAATAGTTTGTACCTCCCACTCCCCCACCCCTATATTGCTTCTCTCCCCCCACCACTGGTAACCACTAGTTGGTTCTCTATATCTGTGAGTCTGCTTCTTTTTTGTTATATTTACTAGTTTGTTGTTTTTTTTAGATTCCATATATAAGTGATATCAAACAGTATTTGTCTTTCTCTGTTTGACTTACTTCACTTAGCATAATGCCCTCTAAGTCCATCCATGTTGCTGCTAATGGCAAAATTTTGTTATTTTTTATAGCTGAATAGTATTCCACTGTGTGTTTATGTGTGCGTGTGCGTGTGTGTGTACATCTCACATCTTTATCCATTCATTTGTTGTTGGACACTTAGGTTGCTTCTATGTCTTGGCTATTGTAAATAATGCTGCTATGAACATTGGAGTGCATTTATCTTTTTGAATTAGTGTTTTTGTTATTTTTCCGATATATACCCAGGAGTGGAATTGTGGGGTCATATGGTATTTCTATTTTTAGAAACGTCCATGCTGTTTTACATTTTACATTCCCATTCAGTGTTATTTTTAATGATTTTAACTATTGAAATTAGTTTTTGACCCTGTTCTTCTAGACTAATGAGAAATACATTTTTTTTTTTTGGAAGGGTATCATTTTTTTCACCAAAATCCTTCAGGACCAATAAAGTCAAATAAGTCATTAGGAGACCAGGAGAATGGAAAACATCATTAAAGAGTATAGAAATAAATATATATTTAATATTTGATAGAGAGTAAACTAAAGGAAAAGGAAAGAATAATGGAAAAATTTTGCCAAAAGACTTCTCAAAGGGAAAACATATGACTCACTGAAAGATGATGCACTAAATGGAAATGAGATAAATAATGGAAAACTAAATGATTAATGCCTTGGTACGTGTGTATTCTGACAAAGACAAAACTGCTTTCACAAGGTGAAGCAATATGCCCAGCACTGAAAGGAAATAGCGGAAATGAACATTAAACTTTAAGTGTCTCCCGTAGGTTGTTTTCAAATCCCATAGATGATCACTGTTTTTTTTTTTTCCCTTGGTTTTGCTTTCGGTTGTCTTGCGAACAGTATCTCGGATCATGTGCAAGTCTTTATTGACAATTGAATGGCTTCCTTTCCCGACTCAAGTCTTGAGACAGTGTCCTTAGCTAGCTAACAGAATATTTCACCTCTTGTGGATGTAAATCAAATGCATGCAGAACACAAGGCAGATGCTGGTTGGATATCCTGCTCAACTGACCTCCTTGGGAATCCCTCTTGCTCTCCTTTGTCTTGAGCTCTGACCCAGCCATACTCTGAGGCAATGAGATAAAGTGGCTTCGCAGCCAGCAGTCATCAGGCAGAGGAGTGACAGCTGGGCTGCTGGGAGTAAGCTCATCACATAATTCAGTTCCTTTCTTGCTGTGGCCTGAACTTGCCACCCTCTTCTAGGCTTCCCTGCCCTGGCAGACACAGTTGCCACTATCTGGAAAAGCCCTTTGCTTTCTTCTTCTCTTGGCTGGCTCCTGCTCTTTCTTTGAGAATGGGTCCTTTTACTTTGTTTGGAACCCACTGGCTAAGGTGCTGCCTCAGTGTGCTTCCTCAGCACCTGGTACCCACACACCTCTCCTCACTCCGTGTTGAAGTTGTCTGTTCACTCGTGTGTCTTCCCCAGTGGTCTGTGAAAGGCGTGAGCCTGTGGACTGGGCCCAGCACCTGTCTGCTACTCAGTGCCCACAGGCTGAGGGACTCCATTAGTGACAACCACCCCAAATTATTTCAGACAGATTATTACTGCTGTGATTATTATTACTGTTGTGAAAGAACTTCTAGACAGCAAAGCAAGCAGGTGCATTTTAAAGCAAATAATTCTTTGGTCTTAATTCACAAGGCATGGGCATATCCTATTTTATCATGTGATTGAGAAAACCTTTGTTCAAAAAATTCTATTTCCTGTAACATCCCTAGTTTCTGACAGGGGGCAGCAGAGACCATGAAAACAAAGGCTGGCCCTTCAACTGGTAGCTTACAAAATTTTGGAGCCAGACGTTTTAACAACTTTCAGCAGGAACTAGCCCATGATAGTGGACAAACCTCACTGTGGAATAAAGACTTCAAGGTAAAGACTGGCTTTTATTAATAATATTCCTTGAAGGCAATATAAATGATTTACAGGTTTTTTTTTTTCTTTTGCTGTACGCGGGCCTCTCACCGCTGCGGCAACCGGATGCGCAGGCCCAGTGGCCATGGCCCACGGGCCCAGCCGCTCCGCGGCATGTGGGATCCTCCCAGACCGGGGCACGAACCCGCGTCCCCTGCATCGGCAGGCGGACTCCCAACCACTGCGCCACCAGGGAAGCCGTACAGGGTTTTTTTCTTAAAAGAAAATGCAAATAATCATCTCCCTCGTTTTATTACTGAGTAGGAAAAACTCTCTTCCTCATATGTGTTTCCCTTTTACCACTCACACAGAGCACTTCACTTCTGATACTTTTGGTCACCAAATGTGTGTGGGTTTTTTTCCCTGCCCCCAAGCAATTCTCTATGACACCAACTGGGTGTCCTATAAATTCAATGCTGACATTGTCTACCTGGAGATAGCATCAAATCTCACAGGTTAAGAGCTCAGTCCCCACAAGACTGATGCCATGCTCCCAACTTCAGGTGCCAATCTCAAGTCTCATGTTGTCACCTGTATTTCTGACCGACTGGCTATAAATTTTTGTTCCCATGACCCCCTCCTTGGATTTGATAATTTGGTAGAATGGCTCATAGAATTCAGGGAAACAATTACATTTACTGGTTTGTTATAAAAGGGTATGATAGAGGATCTAGATGAACATCCAGGTGGAAGAGGTGCAGAGCTACCATGCTCCCTCTGAGTGCACCACTCTCCTAACACCATGTGTCACCAGCCTGGAAGCTTCCCGAACCCCTCTTACATTTGGGATTTTTATGGAGGTTCCATCACACGGGCATGATCAACCATTAACTGCATTTCTAGTCTCTCTCCCATTCCTAGAGGATAAGGGATGCGGCTGAAATTTCCAAGCTTCTAACCATGGCTGACTTTTCTGGTGACCATCACCCATCCAGGAGCCCTCCAAGCTTTGCCTTCTTTCACCCAGGAAATTCAAGAGATTTAGGATTCTGTGTCAGGATCTGGGGGCAAAGGTCAATATATTTATTTTCTATTATTTCATAATTACAAAAATCTTTAAAAAGATAGGTGCTTATTTTTTTGCTAGTGACTTGTAAAATGATGCTAGAGCATGAGATATTTCCAGTTGGTCTTAGGGAGAGTGTCAAGATTTGCAAATTATTACCAGATGCTGGGGTTACCTTCCCTTTCCCTGCCTTGGGAAAAAAAGACATAAAGTAAAGAAGAAAACAAACAATGAAAGCAATTGAAGTAATAACTAAAGCAAATAGCCGGAGCCTAAATCATCCCTCCCCCACCCATCATGGCATGGGGGCCAGTCTCATGCCTCACGTACTTTTTATGTCTAGTGCCCGGTACAGGGCCTTTTTATGTCTAGTGCCCAGTACAGGGCCAGGCAGGTGCCCAGCAAACATGTGGAACTGAACAAGCATCTCTGGCCTGATCACATGTTAGTTCTCCAGGGGAGTTTCTGAGTTGTATCTCACATCTAGTTGTCCCATAAATACACAAGGTGAGGAATTGGCATTCAGAAAGGTGATCACCCTAGGTCTAAATTCAGGGACTCTGTTAATGTTCTGTTATTTAAAATCATGAAAAGCAGAGTGGGGGAAATAAAAGGAGCGAGATTCCATGTGGTTGCCAGATGGGTGTGCACAGGTAAGAAACATGCAGGTGGGCTGGGTCTGGTTGTCAGAAAGTTGATGCTCAGTCCACATGGTCAGCTTGAAACTAGGAATACAAAAGAAATTGGCCGTGTACCCTAAGGTTCTCTGCTGTCCTTCTCCCTTTTAGTCTAGAAATCCTGGGTAGTTCAGCTCTAATTCCCTCATGTCCCTCTTTCCAACATTGCTGTAGTACCTTTGTTAATTGGAGCTTCCCAATTTTTTATAATGATGGTAGTTAGACCTCTTCCCCATCCCTGTCTGCTAAGTTCTGTTTGTACTTCTTGGAGGCAGATTTGAAAGCTGGGCTCTTGGCAAGTAATAAGAGCCTGGCCTTTTTTTTTTTTTTTGCGGTATGCGGGCCTCTCACTGTTGTGGCCTCTCCCGCTGTGGAGCACAGGCTCCGGACGCGCAGGCTCAGCGGCCATGGCTCACGGGCCCAGCCGCTCCGCGGCATGTGGGATCTTCCCAGACCGGGGCACGAACCCATGTCTCCTGCATCGGCAGGCGGACTCTCAACCACTGTGCCACCAGGGAAGCCTGCCTGGCCATTTCTTTTCATAATAACTCAGAGGCTCTTACATTGGCTTTCATGGTTCATACTGTTTGTAGAAGACAGCCATTCTCTTAAGGGACAGGACAGGTATTAGGAAACCTCTCCTACTAGAAGAGTTAGATGAGACTCAGAGAGGGGAAATCCTGGCCCTGTTGGTCACCTAGATTATTACTGGCAGAACCTGGATGAGAATCATCTCATCCAGACTCCCCTGGAACAGCTCATCATGCTCATTCATCAGTGGGGCCTAGTTTAGTGATGGGACAGGGGAGATCCTGAAACATGGGATTAAGGGAGGGCATGTGTATTCAGGTTTAGCACAGTGTCTGGCTCAGTGCTGTCTTCAGTACATGGTAGACTGCTATGATGGGGATCATGGGGTGGCCCAGCCATGGAAACAGTAGACAGTGTGGAGGATATAAGGGGAAGCCTTTTTTTTTATTATTATTATTACATTATTTATTTATTTAGGCTGCTTTGGGTCTTTTGTTGCTGAGCACGGGCTTTCTCTAGTTGCGGTGAGTGGGGGCTAGTCTTCATTGCAGTGCACGGGCTTCTCATTGCGATGGCTTCTCTTGTTGTGGAGCATGGGCTCTAGGCACACGGGCTTCAGTAGTTGTGGCATAAGGGCTCTAGAGCACAGGCTCAGTAGTTGTGGTGTACGGGTTTAGTTGCTCCGCAGCATGTGGGATCTTCCCGGACCAGGGCTCGAACCCATGTCCCCTGCATTGGCGGGCGGATTCTTAACCATTGTGCCACCAGGGAAGCCCAAGGGGAAGGCTTTTACTGGAGGCAAACATTTACACAGAAAGGGATATGGGTGGAGACATACCCAAGGAGATGCTGATCAGGGGAATATTCTTCCAGGGGAACAGGGGATCTTGGGGTGTCTTCTGTTGGGCCAGGCCAAGCCTTATTTTATTCCATTGCCACAACAGCCTTGGAAGTATTATTATGCCCATTTGTCAGCTGGGACTACAGAGTCACAGGGAGGCCAAGTAATTCCCAGGATAGCTGCACTGAAGACCTCTAGGAACTCCATTCACATGAAGTACCATGTGAACAAGCCCCCTGGAATTATTAGAAGGCAGAGCTCACACCTAGGCTGTTTGGCTCCACAGCCCGGGTTCTTAGCACCTCTTCATACTGCATTTTCCAGACAGCCTTTTCTGGAACCCAGCATTGCCCAGTCAGGCCCTCATTCATGTATGTCTCCAATCTAACAAGAGAGAACATTGCATAGGTTATAGCTGTTGGGGAGAAAAATGATCTCTGGACTCAGGGTCAGAGGCTGGGTTTGAGTCCTGGCTCTGCTCCTGACTTGTGTGACCTTGGCCAGTCACCTCACCTCTTCACACAGTCATTTGCCATCTGTAACATGAAGAGAAAGGTGTACAATTCTCTCAGGCTTACGGCGAGGACTCTGTGAGATTAATGAATGTGAAAGTGCTTTGTAAGCTGTGAAGTTCTGAACAAACATAAGCGTTCGTACAAATCGAGGGAACGAATGGGGCCAGCAGGCAGCCATTTATTATGTGGGCTGATATGTATGCAGAGTATGGACTTTTTATGCTTCATTTGCTTCTGTGAAAAATGTACAAGTGACGATGTCCTGAGTCTGCAAACAGAGGATGGGGCCTTTGTGTGTGCTGCGGATGTTGCAGAGCCCGAGGGAGGGGGCCAGGAAATGAAAACCATGTGGCTCTGAGTTGGGCCTTGAAGCTTCAAGCTTCCCCACAGGGAAGAAGAGAAAGAGCATGCTAGATGTTCTTGGGTGATAACAATGAGAAGTATGAACCCAGCCTAAGTTCCTTGGCTTCTTGTATTTCTCTTGAGCAAATGTTTCTGTTCTTGAGGCAGCTTAACAGCAAAATCACCTTTCATTTGTTGAAATGTGACAAAATTGGGCAGAATCAGAGGCTCAGGATGCTGTAAAAACGAGCTATAAAATTTAAATAAGTCTTAAGTGAATTGGCCTCGGGCATTTCCTTGAGTTGAAAAGAAGAGGAACTGTGTGAACATGAATCTTGCTTTTTCTTACCATCCTCTACTATGGGGGCCATGACTGTATGCAAAAGAGCTCATGCTTACAATTCTAGTCTTTAAGGAGAAAGAGCAAAGCAAGTTCTTTTTAACCCATCATTTCCCCCCCCACCCACTGTTATAGGAAGCATGTGGCTAGGTTGTCTAGAAAGGCACACTCAAGAACTTCCATCTGTAAAGATCTATAGTCTGAGGGATGCAAGGTAATGATGTTTATCAGACTGTGAATAAAGAAAACAGAATGGGTACTAGTGAATTGGATGGAGCTACTAGGCAGGACGGAAGTCAAAAGATTTTTGACCTCAGTTTGGAAAACTGAATTAGCTAGAAGGATCATAACACATGTGTGCATATATATGGGGGTGGGGGAGAGAAAGAGAGAGAGGTTCCGGGAAGAGAGAAAATTTTAATAGCATACAGGTGCTATGATCAGGCATGAACAAAAAATAGCTCTCACATCAAAAATACTGAAGCAGAGGAGAAGTACTGATATTTGTCATGTGAAGCTCTCTAAACAGATGAAAACTACATCTCTGAATTAAAGGGGCAGCTTCTCAAACATCTACTTTAATAGAGAGCTTTCACCCCACGTGACTGAGATTAGCAGCAAACCCCTTGTAAAATCAAATTAATGAGATGATTCCTGGTTATTGAGAAAAGGAACTGGAAAAAAGAGGGAAAGTGACTTTTCTCATAGGAATGGTCAGTGTTGTTTTTTTGTTTAATTTATTTAATTCACTTTATTTTTGGCTGCATTGGGTCTTCATTGCTGCGTGGGCTTTCTCTAGTTGTGGTGAACGGGGGCTACTCTTTGTTGCGGTGCACGGGCTTCTCATTGCGGTGGCTTCTCTTGTTGTGGAGCACGGGCTCTAGGCATGTGGGCTTCAGTAGTTGTGGCACTTGGGCTCAGTAGCTGCGGCACGCAGGCTCAGGAGTTGTGGCGCAGGGGCCTTTTTGCTCTGCAGCATGTGGGATCTTCCCAGATCAGGGCCCGAACCTGTGTCCCCTGCATTGACAGGTGATTCTTAACCACTGTGCCACCAGCGAAGCCCTGGTCAGTGGTTTTACATTCAAATTTTTGAGAAAATTCATTGACTCTTAGGAGTTGGAATAATTTCAGAGATTCTTTCATCCAACCCCCCTCAGATGAGTAAACTGAGACCCAGAGAGATTCAAAATCTCACCCAAGGCCCACGATAGGAAAGGGGCTGAGCTAGCCCACGCTCCAGGCCTCTGTCTGCACCCTGGATAAAAAATCACATTGGCGAGGCTTCCTCCTGAGGCTGGGACTTAGGATGTGGGGGCAGTTGCTCTGGGATAAAAAGAGGCCTCTTTTAATATTCCTTCGTTTTAAAAGTTTGAGTTTAACATCTGCTACAGAGAGAGGAAAATAAATTCCAACTGACTTCCTTTTTCATTTTCTTTTATTTCTCATTTAAGAGTGGAGGTGGAAAGAGGGGCTCAAAGTTGAAGGCAGTAATATGAGCCATGAAAGCACTGTGTGAGACACAGTTAGAAAGTGAAATGCTTTACAGATGCCACCAAAAAAAAAAAAAAAAAAGAAAAGAAAAAAAGAGGAAAAGGCAGTCTTGAACCAGGGCACACCTCTTCACTTTCCACATCAACCAGGTAAAAGGAATCAAATGCTAATAAACCACATGTCCACTAGAATCCTTCTTGAGTATTTATTCACTTGGCACAAGTGACAGTAGTAGACTATATGTAACATATGTTTTTTATTCAGAAGATTTCTGTGCTTCTTCATCCTAGTTCCGAGCTAATCAAAGTGGACATCTGTGTCCTGGAGGTTCTTTCTTCACAAATCTAGAATCAGACTCGGAATTCCAAGCATCTAGAGGGGCTGGTATGTGACTAGTTGCTGTCAAAGTCCTGGGACTTGAACTTGGCGACCTAGTCAAAGCAGATGAAAGTTCATTTCTGAGTTTGTCCATCCCTTTACACCAGGTACTCACCCCCTCCCTATTCAAATTCTCCCTATAGTTAGCTATCTTTCTCAAAAGACACTTAAAAAAATTAAACCAAAACAAATCTAAGAGAAACCTGAAAGATCAGGATAGATGCTCCTTGATGATATCCTGAAGGGATTTATAGTATCATCGATATTTCCCAATTATTACTGAACTTGGACTGGTATACTTTGTTCATTTTAGATTACATCATAATAATGGGCATTTTATTTCCCTAGAATATTGGTGACTTAAAGTGTCTCAGTTAAAAATTCATTTGCCCACAAGTAACAGAAAACCCAGTTTACAGAGACTTAAACACATGAGTTTCAATTTCTTTTCTTTTTTTTTTTTTTTTGGCTGTGTGGTTTGCAGGATGTTCTCCATGACCAGAGATTGAACCTGGACCACAGCAGTGAAAGCCCGGAATCCTAACCACTAGGCCACCAGGGAACTCCGAGTTTCAATTTCTTACTCAACAGGAAGTCTGGAAGTAGGCATCTGGTGGTGTTTTGGTGGCTAAAGATGGTGGCCACTGTCCTGATAAATCTCTTGGCCTTCCCTCATCGTTGCAATACATCAAATAGTAGTCAGCATGGCTAAATACAAGGCAGGAAGAAGTAGGGAAAGGGGAGCCCAGCTATGTCCAAACTTTTTTATCCAGAAAGCCAAATCTTTCTCACACCATGCTCCCAAGCAGATTTCTGCCTATGCCTCATTGGCCGGAAGTGGGTCATATGGCCCCTCCACTTGCATAGGAAGGTAGAAGAGGAAGAAAAGATTATAATGATTAGTTTAGGCCAATTTTGATCCACCTGAGACTCCTGGGTACATTGCTTCTCTGAACCAAATCAGGGTTCAGTCAGCAAGGTAGAAGGTGGAGGATGGTGGAGGATTTTGAGTAATCACGAGCAGCGAGGATCATAAATTGGAGTTCTAACGTAATACATTTGTAAGTGTAATTTTTACTGTTAATAGCGAACAAAGATATTTAAAATGCAAAGAGTTTTACTACATTATTTCCTCTTGCTTCTTTACCTCTGTCTTGATGGTCTTATAGTTTCCATATAATTTTCTTTGAAGTGGCCTTTGGCATCTACTTTCTTAAAAGAAACATTGTTGAGCCAAACCCCAGCTTTGCCTCCAGAGTTCTGACATGCGCAGAACTACATTAGTAGTACATATATCTTCATGAACAGCTGGAAGTAATTTTCAACCTAAGCATTTCGTATTTCATGGATGGGTGAAATTTACAATAACTTTTGAAGCAACTATTCTAAAGCTCATGCGTCTTTGATTGGATGCTTGACTAATCCCATCCATTTCACTGGTGCTAAAATATTTTAAAACTCTAAAAATGTCCTTACATGGGTTGTAAAAGAGATACAAGAAAGGCACCAAGAAAAAAAAAATCATGTCTTCTCTGGTGCCTCACAGTACATTCAGTGTATTCTCTACATAACAGCTGAAGTGATCCTGCAAAAGGAAAAGTAGGCCATGTCACACTCCTGGTCTCAGTCCTCCAGTGGCTTCCCATCATCTTTGATGAAATCCAAAGTTCTTACGATATCTTTCTGGGCTCTGTGTGACCTGGGCCCTGCCTGTCTCTCATATTTTCTATCCCTTCTCACTCTGGGTGGCTGCAATGTCCTTCTTTTTTGTCCCCCCAGTAAGCCAACCATGTTTTCATCTCAGGCCCCTGCCCTTGCCTTTCTTTTGACCTGGGATTCTCTCTTCTTGGGTATTTGTGTGGATTTTTGCTCCTACTATTCAGGTCTCTGCTCACATGTCACCTCAGAGAGCTTTCTCTTGACCACCCTGTCTTAAGTATCACCTCCCTCCATCATTCTCTATCTGCGAACCTGCTTTATTTTTCTACAAGGCCCTTATTATAAGCTGACATTATATTACATATTTATTGGTTGACTGACTTATTTATTATGTGTTCCCTACTAGAATGTGAGCTCAACAAGGGTAGGAACTCAGTTTGGTTTACTTCTTTATCCTCAGTGCCTAAAATGGTATCTGGTACCAGTAGGTATGCAATAAATATTAATAAATATTTGTCGGATGAATGAATAGAAGTTTTAAAAAACTGGTTCTACTATCACATAGTCAGAAGACTAAAGAGTGGGTCAGAGCTAGTTATGCAGTTATGGTTTTTTTCCATGTCTACACTGGTATTTTATTTAATGCGCAAATACAAAACTTAATAAAAATGCTCAATTAAATCAAAGGATATTACATTGAAATGTGGTTCTTCCTGAACCATTCACTCAGCAAATACTTACTTTGTGCCTCTCCTTTAAGGAAGTACCAATGATTTTTCATATTTAATGTGTTACCTATTTATTTCCCTATTAGAGTTAACTCTAAATAAACTATTAATAAAAGGGACCAGGAGAAAGTTTCCTGAGGACTAAGTTTTTGGCTCTATATCATGAACATGTTTTATTGATGACACAAATGAAGCTACTGAAGGCTCTTTGGCAAATTTAGTAAATGAAAGGGAACTACTTACCTCAGTGACGTTATAGAATTAGGATCCTAAAATGTCTTGACCAGCCAGAAGTAATGAGATATCCCACCAAAGAAAATAAATCAACTGATAAGAAGACTTGTAAGAGGTGAACTCAGATTTAACAGTAATATATTGGGAAAAGATTTAGCATTTTAATCACTGTGACTCAGTAGTGTGCTGTGGTTATCACTAAAATGAATGCAAGCTTAGACAACCAAATATAATCATATTACTGTGTTATTAATATCTAACATAGTATATGTATATTGTCAAATAAAAAAACAAATCCAGACTTAGGAAGGAGACACTTTATTTGAAAAGGATTATTGCCAGGAGGGGAAAGAGATTACTATATTACAATAGGGAGAAAGCTTTGACCATGAGATCTGCAAGCTTCTCAAAAATCAGGCAAAAAGATTTTTCTTTTATAGAGAAAAGTAAGCAAAGAAACAGGTGTAGGCGAGTGAGAAGAGAGGTAGCATGATCGGATAGCAGTTCAGAGGATGTTCCAAGGCCAGTCTCTTCTTAGCAGGGGCTGTATGCTGGCTCAGGCTGAGGAGGGCTAAAGTTTGGGGCCCTGGAGGAAAAAGAGAAGCCTAACCAAAACTTATTTGGGAAGAGCAGTTCAGCTAATCATTTATGAGGCAAAGAAAGGGAATTTTGGGGGTCTATGTTTGGCCTTGTAAACAAGGGAGGGCATATGTGAGTCTTATTGACGTCGTATTGGGGAAAGGTGGTTCTTTGCAGTAAACTGTTCTTCAGAACACAAAGAGGGGAGGTTTTTTTCTTTTTCATAAAAATATATATATATTAAAAAATTGTTTATTGGAGTATAGTTGATTTACAGCATTATATTAGTTTCAGGTATGCGGTACAATGAAATGATTCAGTATTTTTACATATTATACTCCATTTAAAGTTATTACAAAATAGTGCTATAATTCCCTGTGCCATACAATATATCCTTATTTCTTATCTATTTTATACATATCAATTTGTATCTCTTAATCCCATACTACTATCTTGTCCCTCCCACAAGAGGGGAGGTTGCTTTCCATGGTTACAGGGCTTAGGTAAAATTCAACATTTATACAATATATAAATTATATAATGCATAATGTACAAATTATAATTATAGTATAAAGTTATTATATAGACAATATTATAAACTATACAAAACACAAATAAAAACATAATGCCTATAACATATTATATATACATATGTGTATATATATATATATATGCACAAACACATATAATAGCTAGTTTAATATAATGCCAGCTGCCTCTTTCGTAGCAGGGAGGTGACAGTCAGCTTTACTTTGGTCAGCTAACAGGTGGCTCAGAAGGGCAAATATGGCTTACATGCTCCAATATTATTTGGCCAGCACATGGGTTTCAAGTTTTAAATATGAAAGCCTTATGTCAGGGGTTAAGTCCAACTCCTATCACTCCTTATGTCTTTACACTGGGCCATAGCCACACATTTACGTTTAGTAGGGTCTGGTCCCTGGGAGTGTCTGAATTTGCAACCCCTAATCAAGAGCACTGTGGGGCCACCCTTTGAAGAATGTGGACAAAGTGGATCATAGTCAGGAAACACACACCACACAGATGGAAGGTATGAGAAGTTCGAAGATTTAGTCTAGAGGATATGAGGCAGGGAAGGATGAGAGAGGCCATCACAATTATCTCCAAATACTAGAATAGTTGCCATGTGGAAGAATTAGACTTGTTCTGTTTGGTTCCAGCAGGGTAATAGTAGGACAAGTGGGAGGAAGTTGCAGGGAAATAGATTTGTGTGTCAGCATAAGGAAGCCCTTTCTAACAGAGCTGCCTTCAGAAAGTGGGGCTCTCCCTGTCACTGTATGCTTTGCTGCAAAGCTTCATTGTGGAGCTGCAGGAGGGGATCTGACTATTGAATGGGTGTGTTGGAATAAGCAGTATTGAAGTTTCTTTTCCACTGTAAGACTCTCTGATTCTGTGAAATAAAGTAAAACCCCATTATTTTGGCCTTGATTGATTGATTGATTTTATAAATTTATTTATTTATTTATTTATGACTGCGTTGGGTCTTTGTTGCCGTGCACGGACTTTCTCTAGTTGTGTCGAGCGAGGGCTACTCTTCGTAGCGGTGCGCAGGCTTCTCATAGCTGTGGCTTCTCTTGTTTCAGACCACGGGCTCTAGGCATGCGGGCTCAGTAGTTGTGGCTCGTGGGCTCTAGAGCACAGGTTCAGTAGTTGTGGTGCACGGGCTTTGTTGCTCCACAGCATGTGGGATCTTCTCGGACCAGGGCTTGAACCCGTGTCCCCTGCATTGGCAGGTGGATTCTTAACCACTGCACCATCAGGGAAGTCCCAAAGCCTTTACTGATTTAGAATTAGTATAAATCCTGTTAGTGGGGCAGGATGAATTTTTTCTTTATAATATTTTATGATATATTATTATTTTCTAATATATAAGAAGTGTTTTCTATAACACTAGGAAAAATGTTTTAACTACCTAAAGTCAACTAATAAAGTAATAGTTTATTGTTGATTATGTATATGACACTATTCTGGGAGTTTTATGGAGCAATAACAGAATATAGAGGGAAAATACATTCTCCTGGGAAAGACATGGTTATATGGGAAGATCTGATAACCCCATGAAGCAATAAGAGAACCAGAAATTATATTTATTTATCTCTTATATATTTACAACATCAAGTGAAATTAGACAATAATAATGTGCTAATTGTCAGGAAAACTCATTAAGAGTAAGAGGTGACCAGGTGAATATAGTGAGCATGGTTTACGAACAAAATATCAGAACACAAATCAAAGATTACTAAGTGAGTATTTGAAATCAGGCTGTTAGAAAAAAACAGTCTATAATAACTAAACAAACACATTGAAAAGAGTCATCATGGACAACTTTAAGTAGGAGGAACTTCTTGTATTTGTCCTTGACTGTTGGCTGTGAGAACAAAGCAGGCTGGAGAGGAGTGTAGAGGTGGGAATGAGGAGGGTGGGGATCAGAGATGTCGTACAGATTGTCCACTTGAGAGAGGTGCACGCCAGGAGTGGAGGGGGATAGGATTATTGGGTGGACTCCCTGTGACGTTGAAAACAGGTAGGGAGGTTTGCGATCAGTGCAGTAGGGAGACAAAAAATAAAATGATGTGAGAAATTTTAAAAGAGCAGTTTCTAGTTCATTCACCAGATATTCACTGAGCACTTTACTGCGCACCAGGCATGTTCAAGATGCTGAAGATCCCCTTACCCTCAAGGATTTACAATTAAATGGGTGAGAATGACAAGAAAACAGCATTATAATTCCACGTCATAAGTCCTGGAGAGAGAGCAGAGGCTGCACGTACTGCAGAAGAGAGTTGGGTGGGGTTAGCCCCACTCCAGGTGGCAACTGGTGTAATGCCATGGAAGGCCTTCAGGTGAAATAATAGCTGAGCTGTGTTTTGAAAGACAGGCATAAGAGGTTTGGAGGACAAGCATGTTAGCAAAGCGAGCAACACATGCAAAGTGACCTGGGGAATAAGTGGGGAGGGGCTGTAGTGCAGGACACTGTGGGGTGACTGGTGAGGGTGAGAGGTGGGCCTGGCCAGGTGAAGAAGGGACTTACATAATACCAATAACAGTGAATTAGTTTTTTTTTTTTTTTTTTCTGTTTTTTGTTTTAGGGTAAATCAAGCCATAGGAGTGAATGAGACTGTGGAATGACTGAGAAGTGAGAAGGCCAAAAAGGGGAGCCTGGGGAGCCCCCTGGTTTCCTTTTATATACAGATAATCATCTCCTGCATACTGACCATCTGCTGTCAAAGCAAAATTCCAGTGGACCTAGCTTTAAATCTTCCTACCAAGGTAACAAATTATTCATTTTCTTGTTTTTGTTTTTACTACTGAGAATTGTCAATATTTCTATTAAGGTTAAAATGCCTTCCCAGGATTGGTTAAGTAAATGTGGCATAGTCTTACACTAAAATACTTATTCTTAAAAATGATGCCATAGGACAATATCTAATGACGTGGGGAATCGTTCATGTTTTATAAGTGGAAAAAAAAAAGCGGCTATGATCTTATTTTTTTAAAAAGAAAAACAAACAAACAAAAAGATTACTCCTTCCTTCTGAGTCTCATTTTCCTCTTCTGTAAAATAAATGTATTAGATTAATGATGTCTATGACGCCCTCTAATTACAAAACTCTGTGACCTAGAAAGAATACCATGTTTTCCATCTGCCTTCCTATGTGTTCTCTCTTCTTCTTTCCCATTTTACAGATCTGGAAAATAAATAATAGTTCAGTAATAAAATATTTATTTCATATAGCATTATTTAATGTTGAAAAATTCTGTTATCTATTAGTAGGTTGTGTGCTATGTAGAGATAAGGATTTGAGTATTTATTGCATACTTAAAACTTTGCTAAATATTAAGAAGTCTACAAAGAAATTCTGCCTTCAAGGAGTTTATGACCCAATTGGAAAGAAATGGAGATTCATGTATAAACTGGTGAATAAAAATAATAAGTGATAGGGCTTCCCTGGTGGCGCAGTGGTTGAGAGTCTGCCTGCCGATGCAGAGGACGTGGGTTCGTGCCCCGGTCCGGGAAGATCCCACATGCCGCGGAGCGGCTGGGCCCGTGAGCCATGGCCACTGGGCCTGCGCGTCCGGAGCCTGTGCTCTGCAACGGGAGAGGCCACAGCAGGGAGAGGCCACAGCAGTGAGAGGCCCATGCACCGCAAAAATAAATAAATAAATAAAAATAAGTGATAAAAAACAGTACCAAAATTATACATTTCATCACTGCATAGAAACCAGAGAAGGACCCATGATCTTAGCATATACACAGATTTACTCCTGAGGTGACTTAATCAACAGAGGCCCCACCAGGACCACTGAAGCCCCACCAGCCCTCCCAAAGCTTTGAGGTTCTGGTGAGGACGGCCATCCCACAGGCTGACTGCCCCCCACTGCACAGTTGGAGGAAGCTGGCCTGGCCTGTAGGATACTCATCTTTAGCCCTCCTCACTCCCTGAAGAGGATCCTGCCTTCTGTATCTTCTCTCCTCCCAGCCTTACCCACCACTCCTCCCTCAGCACAAAGCCAGGTGTGGACCGTGCCTCTGGGCCTCCTGCTGCCAAGTGCTGAAGGATCTCATGCTAGGGAATAATAGTTGCTGATTTTTATGGCGTCATCAACCAAGAGCAGAGAAATACCAGCAAGGTCTGCCCTTCACAGGTGATTTCCCTTTTCCCTTCCCCAAGTTTGTTACCAGAAGGGCAGGGCCTATTTATTTACTCTTAGGCCAGCTCAGAGGAGCAAAGATTAATTACTAATAGCTCATTGGCTTATCTTGATTACTAAAGTAGTAATCTAAATATTGTGGCTAGGTCTTGTTAACCAGTACGAAATTATCTCAGATATACTCCAAACAATATATTTGAAACTAAAACATAAGAATGACTCTAACTTCTTTTTACCAGGCCAGATTATAATAGCTAAAATCTTAAAGTACCCACTCTACATAATTATATGAGTTCTTCATTTGTATTTATATTTATATAAGTAACATTTATTTATATTTATTATATATATATTTTAAAGTTTATAATAATAAAAATGCCAGAAGTCTGTAGAAAAATGAGCAAAGGACTCAAAGAGAGTGAGTAAACCATGTGGTTAATAAGCAAATATAAAGATGCTTAACTAATGAGGAACTGAAGAAATGCAAAATAAAACAAAGTGACATTTTCAGCTACTGGTAAAGATTTATTTATTTATTTATTTTTTGGCTGAGTCACATGGCTTGTGGAATCTTAGTTCCCCAACTGGGGATTGAACCCCGGCCCCTGCCTGGCAGGGAAAGTGTTAAGTCCTAACCACTGGACCACCAGGGAATTCCCAAGATTTAAATGTTGATGATACTATGAAGAAAGATACTTTCATACACTATTGCTTAAATTATAAATTAGTAAAAACTTTCTGGAAGGCAATATATGTTCAGTTAAAAAAATCTGTATACCATATTTCCCAGACATTCTATTTCTAAGAATTTCTAAGGAAATAGTTAGATAAAGGCACAAAGATGTAACTACAAGCATGTTCACTGTAATAGTATGTATAATAGTGAAAACTAGTACTGAATGAGCATTAATATAGGATGAAGAGGCATATTTTAAAGACACAGACAGTGTTCGGCTTACCCATTAGCTATAAATTGTGATGATATTTTCCATAAAAGCTTTGCTGAGCATTAGATAATTGGGGCAGAAAGGTCAGTGAGAAATGTCTCAACTGCTTTACCACGGTGACTATGTAATATGCACTTAATGGAAACGCAACTTGCCAAAATATATAACTCTCTCCCATAGTCCTAGAGCCTATTTGTTTTTTAATAAAGAACGTTTTCAACTCAGAAATGGTAAATTTAGTACAAAGCTTTCAGTTGTTTTGGAGGGGGAAAAAAGAAACCCTAAACGGATTCAAAGAACACAGGGACTAGAATTTCTATTGAAACCAGATGTTCTCATTGTGGTTGTATTTTAATGGTTATCAGCAGTCAAACCTTAAAACCCACATCTTCAACATGGCCTGGCTAACGTGAGTCATCCACTAATGACTGGGTAAGTTACAATTGCCCTCCGTATCCAGCGGTCGGCATCCATGGGTTCAACCAGTTGGGGATAGACTATGTTAACGTTGTTGCTGACTTATACTATGAGGTTAGGCCTACTATGGTTGTGTCTGTATTGAACAGGTACAGACATTTTCTTGTCATATTCCTTAAACAATACAGTATAACAACTATTTCATAGCATTTACATTGTATTAGTAATCAGTTATAAGTAATCTGATTTAAAGTATATGGGAGGTGTGCATAGGTTATATGCAAATACTATGCCATTTTTATAAGAGACTTGAGCATTTGAGGATTTTGCTATCTGTGGGGGGTCCTGGAACCAATTCCCTACAGATACTAAGGGATGATTGTGTCTTTTTTTTTTTTTTTTTTTTTCTGTGCACAAGAAACAGATTACTATACTGGCAGCTTTTGTTTGTGAAGAATTTGCGATGTGCTGGTCCCCATGTGTAAGTATCTATCCATCTTATTGCATTTAATTCTAAGAAAACTATAGGACCAAGTGTTTTCTGCCTTATATAAATGAAAACGTTGAGAGTGTGAGAAGTTAATGGCTTGCTTAAGGTGATCCAGCAGGGATTCAGGCCTATGGCAGACTACAGCCTGGCTCATGTTTTCCACATCGTACAGTCTTTCCACATTGTACAGGGAAGGACAGATGTAGAAGAAAGGGTCATAGCAGGTCTGATATTCAACTGGTAAACACCAATGTGGCCACAATGATTTTCTAAATGTTAAAATATTTCCATACTAATTGGTAAATAGCTGCTATTATCAGCCCCTCCCTGCCCCCAGTGCTTTTCCACTTCCCTCCTACGAGACCCCTGCCCCGTCCCCCCAAACATGCAGCAACTAGAGGGGCCACACCTGGCCCAGGAGGGGGCTTCAGGGGGCCTTCTGTTTGGGCAGCATGGTGATTATTAAGTCTCTGCACATCACCCCCGAAGAGAGGAAATCTCTAGTGAGGATAGGGCAGAGACAGCAGCTCTAGAAGTTACAGCTTTGTTTGTCACGTGCCATCTCTAGCAACTCTTTTTTATACATTAAAAGTTTCCGGGGGCTTCCCTGGTGGCGCAGTGGTTGAGAGTCTGCCTGCCGATGCAGGGGACACGGGTTCGTGCCCCGGTCCGGGAAGATCCCACATGCCACGGAGCAGCTAGGCCCGTGAGCCATGGCTGCTAAGCCTGCGCGTCCGGAGCCTGTGCTCCGCAGCAGGAGAGGCCACAACAGTGAGAGGCCCGCGTACCGCAAAAAAAAAAAAAAAAAGAATCTGCCTGCCAGTGCAGGGGACATGGGTTTGATCCCTGGTCTGGGAAGATTTCATCGTTAGTGTATAGGAATGCAAGACATTTCTGTGCATTAATTTTGTATCCTGCTACTTTACCAAATTCACTGATTAGCTCTCGTAGTTTTCTGGTAGCATCTTTAGGATTCTCTATGTATAGTATCATGTCATCTGCAAAGAGTGACAGCTTTACTTCTTCTTTTCTGACTTGGATTCCTTTTATTTCTTTTTCTTCTACGATTGCTGTGGCTAAAACTTTCAAAACTATGTTGAATAATAGTGGTGAGAGTGGGCAACCTTGTCTTGTTCCTGATCTTAGTGGAAATGGTTTCAGTTTTTCACCATCAAGAATGCTGTTGGCTGTGGGTTTGTCTTGTGTGGCCTTTATTATGTTGAGGTAAGTTCCCTCTGTGCCTACTTTCTGTAGGGTTTTTATCATAAATGTGTGTTGAATTTTGTCAAAAGCTTTTCCTGCCTCTGTTGAGATGGTCATATGGTTTTTCTCCTTCAGCTTGTTCATATGGTTTATCACATTGATTGATTTGCATATATTGAGGAATCCTTGCATTCCTGGGATAAACCCCATTTGATCATGGTGTATGATCCTTTTAATGTGCTGTTGGATTCTGTTTGCTAGTATTTTGTTGAGGATTTTTGCATTTATGTTCATCAGTGATATTGTCCTGTAGTTTTCTTTCTTTGTGACATCTTTGTCTGGTTCTGGTATCAGGGTGATGGTGGCCTTGTAGAATGAATTTGGGAGTGTTCCTCCCTCTGCTATATTTTGGAAGAGTTTGAGAAGGATAGGTGTTAGCTCTTCTCTAAATGTTTGATAGAATTCGCCTGTGAAGGCATCTGGTCCTGGGCTTTTGTTTATTGGAAGATTTTTAATCACAGTTTCAATTTCATTACTTGTGATTGGTCTGTTCATATTTT